AAAAAATTTTTTGAGCGAACCCCAAGCACCGAACATAATTGTGCAGAGAGCCTCAGTAAAAGGTATGTTTGCAAAAAAAAAAAAAAAAAAATTCTGGGTAAAAAAGAGCAGGCAACAAAGTGATGAATGAATTAATTGAATGATAATTGATAATGATTAAATCATGTATGGCCATGGCCTACTGCCTACTACTAACTTGAATTCAGTATTCTGCTTCATGGCTCCATAGCGTGACATGTTATCATCATTTTCATGTATTCTACCCGAACACCAGTTTTTATCTTTTAATTATTTAGTTAATCTAGTGGTCTGTACATTAATCAAAGTCAAAGGTATCTCACTGTGTGATCATGCTATTTTAAGTGTATTTAATTTACTTTTTTTATCTCCCCTTTATTAAAAGGATGACTAAAACTAAAATCACATGGTCAGTAGGATTATCGAAATGCAATCATATTCCTATTATTATTTAGCAGTACCTAATTTTTAAAACTTTTCATTAAAAAGGAATTAAAAACAGATAAATGGGTTATGAATTAGGCCTACTTAATGATTTAATGTGGTAAATGTTGACAATTTTATTAACCCTCTGGAGACGGAGCCTTTTCGGGGTGTATGTGCCAAAAAGACGGGGCACTTTTTACGAGCTCGACACTCGAATTGCAAAAAAATTTATAAAAAATAAACTATTCCGTTAATATATGTAAAACTATATATTTTCTTGTAGGAAATTGAATGAAGTAATATAATCTTTATAAATCAAACTGAAATATCAAAATTTATGCAAATGAGCTACCCTTATTTGCATAATTTATGCGTGTAATTTTTTGTTACACCTAGAATAAACATGACTTACTTGTATCAATTGTGTTAATTTTTTTATGGATGAAGCCTGAATAAGTCCTAATACTTATTTTTTGGGGGGAAAAAGCCCATGAAGGCCCTTCAGACACCTTTGGCACATGGTTCTACTCCTTTTCCACCCCCACCCCGAATTTCACGATGTAACTATTCACACAAAAAAAAAATTCCTGCACACTAATATATTGAGTTCACCTTCAACGAACGCCGCCATTACAGTGCCGGGATGTGCAGAAATATGTAAGAATAATTTTGATTCGCTGGTACAAGCCAAGCTAGCCAATCGTGAGGCTCGATCTATCAGGCCGACAGCTTGGATTTGACGTCTTTCTCGCTTTCTCGTTAGTGTACGTCTCCAGAGGGTTAAGAAACCCAAATTTTCAATAACTAACATAGGTCTCAGAAATGATACAAGATAAAGATGGCTGGAGCTAAATTATTGTTTAGTACATTTTGTTAAATGGTTGTTTTTTTTAGGTAGAGAAAGATAGGCCAAGTGATTAGTAGTATTTAGATAATAATAAACTATAAATAATGAAATAAATTAATAGTTAATTGCTGGGGGTCCAAGTGGTCTAAAATAAGTAAATCTCGAGTTCGTGGTCTTGAGCTCCATCACCCACCAGACCAAAGCCCAGTCTGGCAAAAACTTCACCAGCACCCTTGGTTGATGGGACTCGTTAACTTTGAATGGCAACCCATCTAAGAGAAGGAAACTCTGAATTCGAACCCTGAGACAGAGTGCTGTAGGTGGATAATATTGACACAATGAAACATTCCAACTCCTTCCATGCCACTGGTGCCAAGCTGTATCATCCACATGATTTTCCCTTGGGTTTATCCAGCAGCGGGGAGAGAGGCGATTTGCCGAGTAGGGAACCAGCTTAAAATCCTAAAAAAGAATAAAATCCCAGGCTTTATGGATTTCGTCCTGCGAAGTCTACACCATTGTTATATTGTGACGGAAGGATGCAGCAAAAAAATAATTTTGTAAATTGTTACAACAAAAAAAAAAAAAAAAAAGCATGCTGCACTGAACCCTTAAGTACCCCGCGTGGGACCCCCCCCCCCCCCCCTTGGATAACCTTTAAAATTATGGTAAGCCTAAAAAGGACTGTCATAAGTTCTAAATGATTTTCTTCCTTCAATTTGGACAGTTTTTAATATTAAAATATCAGTTTATACTTCTCTCTCTTCCTCCCTTCCCCCAATCATTTTTTTTTTAGTTTGTTAAATAGTGTTTTAAGCCCAAAGGGACAGCACTGTAAAAATAAATAACTTCTGTGTATCACAGATGACATCACTCCAAACTCCCCGGATGCTTGGCGTATTCCTAATTTCCGGCATCCACCTCACTCTTTTCCAATCAATATAACAGCCGGCTACGTTGTAATTCACAGTGGATACTGGTGGTGGTATTCTAATTTCGTATTGACTTGCCACTGCAATGGCTGATTCGGCCGAGCAGGAGGTTACAGGGTCGCCACAGACTGCACCAGTAGTTGTGCAAGCATTGGAAGTACCCGCTTTCCTGAACTATTTTCGTCGAGTAGTCCCGGTCCTACTTGAAGATGACGACCCTGATTTAAAGGCTCTACAGACAGCTGTATCGGACAAGCAACAACTAGAGGCCATAAAAAAGTTTTTGAGCGATCCCCAAGCACCGACCCTAATTGTGCAGAGAGCCTCAGTAAAAGGTATGTTTGCAACAAAAAAAAAAAAAAATTCGGGGTAAAAAAGAGCAGGCAACAAAGTGATGAATGAATTAATTGAATGATAATTGATAATGATTAAATCATGTATGGCCATGTCCTACTGCCTACTACTAACTTGAATTCAGTATTCTGCTTCATGGCTCCATAGCGTGACATGTTATCATCATTTTCATGTATTCTACCCGAACACCAGTTTTTATCTTTTAATTATTTAGTTAATCTAGTGGTCTGTACNGAAACATTCCAACTCCTTCCATGCCACTGGTGCCAAGCTGTATCATCCACATGATTTTCCCTTGGGTTTATCCAGCAGCGGGGAGAGAGGCGATTTGCCGAGTAGGGAACCAGCTTAAAATCCTAAAAAATAATAAAATCCCAGGCTTTATGGATTTCGTCCTGCGAAGTCTACACCATTGTTATATTGTGACGGAAGGATGCAGCAAAAAAATAATTTTGTAAATTGTTACAACAAAAAAAAAAAAAAGCATGCTGCACTGTCTGTTGAATGACCATGGCTAATTTAGAGAATTCTGAGTATGAGCAAACTCCCCTTGTTTAGTCGTGAATTGTTACTAGAGTTAACTTTTAAAAAATATATATATATTAATACACAGAGTGAATGGTTTCATTGATAACTCTTTAAAATTTAACTTTGAAAACAAGGTAATTAATATTTGAAAGCGAGACTGATAAAGCAGAAGTGTGATCATTTTAATTAATGGATTTTGACTTTTAGGCTTTTATTTTTGGTGGAATAGTGTATATGAAAAAACTGTAAGTTGGATTTGCATTAATTTGAATTTTTAAAAAAAATATTTCACTATTTAACATATAAATTTTATCAAGAAATAATATTTTAATTATTATTTCAGAAGAAAATACACATTTTTTAGACATTTTAAAACCTATCAATTAACAGGTATTTTAGAAGTAAGTTTTATATTAAAAGTTATAATTTTTTACTACCTTAAGGGGGACTAGGACAGATCCTACTCAAACTCTGATTGACACAAAAGATGTGATCTTTACTATGAAAAATAATAAAGCCCCAGGAAATAGACCTTATAACAGCAGATATGATAAAACTGGGTGGAAATGAACTGCATATACAAAAACACGACCTCATATCCAGAATCTGGCAGGAGGAAGAAAGGCCCCAAAAAATGGGGTACTGTGCTCATAATCCCCATTAACTAGAAAGGATATAAGCTGGATTGCTCAATTTATAGAGGAATCTCCCTATTTAATGTAACTTACAAAATCCCCCCTTAACTAATAGCAAGAAAACTGGAAAGGTATATGGAGCAGATCCTAGGGGACTATCAAAGTGGATTCAGACAGACTAGATCAACCACAGATCATTTACTATCAGTTGTTCCCTGGAGAAATGTTACAACATCTCCATACACCAACTATACATGGTCTACAAAACAGCATATGTTAACCTAGACAGGAAATATCTGTGTGATGCACTACAGGAACTTGGAGTCCGTTACAAACTTATCCGGCTTATACATATGATGATGGCTAACTCCAAAAGTTGAATGAAGTCACAGCGAAATTACTCGATAGAGTTCCTGATTAATCAGGGCCTCAAACAAGGAGACTCACTATCATGTATCCTGTTCAACATCACATTAGAAGAAGTTATGAGCAACATTCATTTTGCATCATCAGAATAAGCAACCACACCTTTGAGAGAGTGGCTCCTTTCAAATGTCTAGAAGCTACTATAAATGAGCACAATGAAAAAATAACAGAGTTGAAAGATAACAAAAGCGCTTTGGAAACAAAATCCTCTCAAGGAGAACAAAGAAAGCTGTATACCCCACTATCATATGACCTGTTGTAATTTAAACAAGTGTCACTTGGTCACTTAGGAAAAAAGTAGAGAACCTGCTCAATACATGGGAGAGGAAAATCCTCTGGAAAATATATACGGTCCAGTTATAGACAATGAGGGATGGAGCAACCAAGAGTAATGTCCATTGTTAGAAAACCCACCCATAGTCACAACAAAAAGGCATACGGCACTGTACAAAACACCTTGAGAAGATGCTGGATTGTAGAGCATCTAAAATTATCTAGGGGCAGACTACTCATACGTCAATCAATACAAATGGATTGAAGATGTAGATAACTTACTTCAGCTGGGAGTCTGAGCATGGAAGCGGAAAGTCATGTATCAATCCGAATGGAAGCATGGGGTGGAGTAGGCCCTGGCCCTACATGGGCTGTAGCACCACTGATGATGATGACATAGGGCAATTGGGAAGGACTACACTTGCTTTTGGATGTGATACGAAAAGGTTTATCACATTATTTATATTTTTTTCTTTCAGATGATTCAGAAGAAGCTGGTGAAGGAGATGGAGACACCAACAATGCACCATATCTTATCTCTACTGATGTACATTTTGGGAGCTCAAAGATGGCAAGGTAGGATGATTTTCTGTATATAATTTAATTCTGAATTAAAAAAACAAATATCACTGACGTTTATACAAAATTATATTATTTATCAATACCTTAGCTAAAAGTCATTACATTTTTAAAGTAATATTCCTTTGCCATCAGTGTGGTCTTCATCAAACGTGGACCTCAGCTGGAAGGAGACAAAGGCCTGGCATCACAGTTGAGGATCATGAACTTTAGTGAAGGATCACCTTATGAGACACTCCATGCTTATATTGCAAATGCAGTTGGCCCTTACTTTAAATCTTACATCAAGGAAACTGGAAAAGCCGAGAGGTAAATTAAAATCTGCGCCAGTTGAGATTTAAAATAAATTACATTCCTTAGAGAATTTTAAAATTGCTGAAGCTATTTGTGACATCGATCTAATTATTTATTTTATGTAAAATTATTAACCATGAGAGTGATGAATAAAATGTTTTATTTTAGAGATGGCGACAAGATGGCACCAACAGTTGAAAAGAAAATAGCAGAGCTTGAGATGGGACTTCTCCATCTGCAACAGAACATTGATATTCCAGAAATCACGCTTCCCATCAACCCTCTGGTGCTTAGTGTCATCAAGAAATGTGCTGAAGAAAACAGGAAACCCAAGGTTTGATTTTAGCACAGAAAAGTTAGCATAGAAAATCAAATACTTTCCAAAAACTTATTGAAATGTTCATGCTTAATTTCATTTTTTTTTTTTTTTTTTTTTTTTTTTTTTTTTTTTTTTTTTTTTTTTTTTTGTTGTTTTTTTTTGTTGCAATTTTAAGAAGATTTGACTCTATAAAGTTACACTGTAAATTTTTAATACAATTGTAAGAGAAATATATGAATAGAGCTCTGTTTTTATTTTTAAATTATTTTTTTTTCCCCTAGGTTGAGGAGTTTGGAGACAAAGTGGATGATGCACAATTCCTGAATGTTCTACAGAGTGGTGTGAATAGATGGATCAGAGAAATACAAAAGGTGGTGAAACTTTTTTTTTTCGGAAGGAATATAAGGAATTTACACTGAATCAGTCTGCATAAGAAATGTACTTAATCCTATATTGACTGGGACAATTATTTGTATGAAATATTGATTTTCCAGTGTGCCTTCTGTTCATTTCTTAGTCAATATGTGATGAGTCATCAGGTAGCAGCTTTAATACAATAATCTTTTATTACGTGGATTGAATGCTTAAAACATTCTTATTATTTATCCTTCTCATAGTACTAAAATTAGGTATAAAATATAATAAGGCAATGCACAGAAATTGATTTTTTTTTGTTTTATTAGAATTCCCTACATTTTTTTAAAGCCATGCTAGCATTCATTTTATTATTAATTTCACCCATTATTTTTTGCAGCATTTATTATATTATCTGTTGCTGTGTTTTCAACATTGTCAGATCAAATATGCTTGCCTGCCAAATACCACATGCCTAAATTGAAATTATTTTAAAAAGTAAAGCATCCGTTATAACATAAATTAAAACAAACCTTGAATGTCTTCAGGTTACCAAACTAGACAGAGACCCATCATCAGGAACAGCCCTACAAGAAATTAGTTTCTGGTTAAATTTAGAACGAGCCTTGCTTCGTATCCAGGAAAAGAGAGAAAGTACTGAGATAGTCCTCACTCTTGACATCTTGAAACATGGCAAACGTTTCCATGCCACAGTCAGTTTTGACACTGACACAGGTAAAATTTACTCCTTTTGTATACAATTTATTCACCCTCAGATTTGCATTTTTTAAAAATTTATTTTATGATTAATTAGTTAAATGAAATTCCCATTGGGGAAGAGGACATTTGTTACCGCACTTGTAAAGTGCATGATTCTAGATGGGGGAAAAAAATAAATAGAAAGTAATCTTCCTTGTGACACTACAACCCCTGTAGGGCTTAGGCCTGCCTCAACATTTCATATACCACAAGGGGTTACCTAGATGATCATTATACACTGCTTTTATGTTACGCCTTTCTTAATTTTATGATTTTAGGGTTCATTTTTAAATGATACCTTAACTTTGATGGGAATTTTACCTCTCAGTTAAATGATACCTTAACTTTGATGGGAATTTTACCTCTCAGGTCTCAAACAAGCAATGGCCACTGTCAATGATTATAACCAGTTGATGAAAGACTTTCCGATCAATGACTTGCTGTCAGCCACAGAACTTGATAGGATAAAGGTGGCTGTGCAAAGCATATTCCTCCATCTGCGGAAGATTCGCTCCACCAAATACCCCATCCAGCGTGGATTAAGACTGGTGGAAGCCATCTCCAGGGATCTCAGTACTCAGATGCTTAAGGTATTTTTTGCCAGATCAGTTAAAAAATGATAATCATTCTTCCTTTTCATAGAATATGCTTAGTTGATTGAAATAGTCTTCTATTGGTTTTTTAAAAATATTCTTGGGATTGCTAATGTTGGGGCAAAGAAAAATCAACTTTAAGCAACTAATTAATATTTTTCTAGCCTTATGTGGGTCTATAGTAAATAAGACATATTGGGCAACTGTGATCCTTTTTTTTATCTTATTGCACTCACTTAGCCATTCTCTACCTTATTTGTTTCAAAATACTACTCTCAGGAACATCTCTGTATCCTTTTTCACTGTTGTCACATCTCCCTCAAAACATGCCACTCGGCTAAATCTTGTTTCACACCTTCCTCATAACATCACTCAACAAAATCTTGCAGTGCGACACAATAAAAAAATTCACTCCGTCTGATTTAGCTTACGGGTTTAAGAAAATGAATGGGAAGACATTTTTTTCAATAAATGCTCATTTATTTGCTTGCAATTATCTACAATAGCAACTTCATTTCATTTTGTCAGTACATTTTTTTCTATTACTTTTTCAGATTCTTGGCACCAGGCGTCTGATGCATATCCCTTTTGATGATTTTGAAAAGGTAATTTTCATCATTTTCTGTGAATCATTGAGTTAGTTGCTTTTTACATTATTTTTCAGCACTGTGGTGGGGAGCATCATAAAGAACCCTACCCAATGATTCATGCATTCAATTTATTTTGTTTGATAGTAGCATTGAAAAAGGAAGTGTTAAAAAAAATGTCAGAATATTTAAATCATGCTCAATGAATCGTGGAACCTAATTTGAATAATTTTTTAAAGCAAACACAATAACAAATTTTTAAAAAAATTATCAGGTGATGAGTGCCAGTTTTGAGGTGTTTTCTACCTGGGATGATGAATTTGACAAGCTCCAAGGAATGTTGAGGGATCTAATCAAGAAGAAAAGAGAAGAACACTTGCGCATGGTTTGGAGAGTCAACCCAACTCACAAGAAGCTTCAAGCTCGCATTGATCACATGAGGAAGTGAGTAATGGTTGCTTGCTTTTAAAAAAAGAGTCATGTATGTCTGTGATCTGATTGAATTCAAATTCATCTCATGTAGCCCCAGCTATATTTGAAGGAATGGACTTATGAGGCAAGTAAGGCTGGCTACTCTATTTGGTGAGGAGGTCAACCTTGAATAAGAAGCTTCAACCACTGAAATAAGCTAACAGTAACCAATTTGGCATTTGTTACAGCTGCCAGAATAAATCCAAAATTTATTGTTCTCAATTTCTTTCGAATTTATTTACATCAGTGCTTTCTCAAACATGTAAATGGTTTTAAAGAAGATGAATATTGATGACCATCTGTTTGTTGAAACTTAATGCTTTTCCTGTTAAATAGAAACTATTACAAGTAAAATTTATAGTATTGACTTGATGTATTTAACTATTAAGTATTTAACTTCACACTTTTCCTTTTATAACAAATTTATAATGATGCACTACTTAGTTAATAACTTTTCCCATAGATTCCGTCGTCAACATGAACAGCTCCGGCAGGTGATCATTCGTGTGCTCCGTCCAGTAACAGTGAAGCGGGGATCTTCCCCTGGCAGTGAAGAATCAGAGTCAAAGGACAAGCCAGTGACAGATGAAGCTGCTGATGCCAATGCTATTGAGGTTTGTAAATCTTTCCATTTAAGATGCAGTAAAGATTGAGTTAATTTCAGAAACCCACTCGAGATATTGTGGAATAAATTAGCGTTATTAATATTTTATTCATGTTTTATCACCTGCTGGAAACTATTTCTATTTTCTTGATGTCAAAGAAAGACCTTAAAAAATTATCAAGTAATGGTTTATCTTTTCCCCTTTGGATAATTATGCATTTTCTTGCTCATTCAGTGGGGTATATTATGCTTGGTTGAACGCACATTTTTATTTAAATGAGCTATTTAGAGAGTATACGAAAATTTAGATTATTTTGGGTTTTGTAAACCAACACAATTTGTGTCCTTGCGTAAACATACTTGACCAAAACATTTCATCCCAGGAGGTAAACCTAGCTTATGAAAATGTCAAAGAAGTTGATGTTCTGGATGTTTCAAAGGATGGCGCAGATTCATGGGAGGCTGCTGTCAAGCGGTAGGTTGTACCCAACTTTTCATTTTGTGTTTGTGATAAAGATTCAATTTTTAAAAACTATTTATTCGCTCCTTTAAATCAGATCTGAGCAGATCCTAAAAGCCTATTACCTGGCATTACATATAGAGCTTAGTAGATCAGTCCTAAATTACTGCAAAAGCTTTAGATAGACATCAGCTTTTAGTGATTTTAAATTTTTATAGACATTCTAAATTTACTACCATCCTCAGATATGAAGAGAGAATAGACCGTGTTGAAACCAGGATCACATCTAGACTCAGAGATCAGTTGGGCACAGCCAGAAATGCCAATGAAATGTTCAGAATTTTCTCCCGCTTCAATGCACTGTTTGTAAGACCTCACATTCGTGGTGCTATCAGGGAGTACCAGACACAACTCATCCAGAGAGTGAAAGATGACATTGAATCTCTACATGAAAAGTTCAAGGTTTGTCCGAAAGCTTAATTTTTTAAATATTTTTTTTATAAATATGCGCGGAGGTAAATATTACAATTTCTACATGTTTCCAGGATATTTAGAAGGATCTTTGATAAATTTGGCATTGCATTTGAAAAAATTAGTAGTTTTCAAATGTAAAGCAAAATATTATTTTTTTTTAAAAAAAGGAAAATCCAGAACACAAGTTATGAGAGATTAGGCTAGAGTCTGATAACTTGATGTGGATCACTTTTCTAAACATTTTATTTTGGAAAAAGCTTATTTGCAACTTATGCAGTTATTAAAATGAAACCTTATTTTAGTTCAGAAGAAGAAACTAATAGAAAATGCATCCAGAGACCCATATATAAGTTATATATTCTGAGAGTAAATTGGACACGGAATCATGGCATTATACAAATTCATACATTTAAAAAATAAATAAATGTTAATTGACCTTCAAAAATTAAATTTGCTTTTAAATGTTAGTAAATTTAATTTAACTGCATAAATATATGGTTAGAACACCTTTCTAGACATGCTCTTTAATTAAACAGAAAATTTCCCAGTTATGAGCATAAACATATATTTTGACAATTCAAATTGATAGCTACCGTCCATCAGGCTGGTCCTAGCTTTTGAAATGCCATCACATAGTGTATTTTCTTCTGTAACAATGCCTTCTACAGTTTGTTTCTTAATACTTTTGAATGTTAACCCTTACAGTTCGCTGTGACCCAAGCGTGTCTTTTTTCACCAGCCGATCGTTTTCCCTGTGGCCCAAGCGCGTCTATTTGCCACATAGAGGGGTATCTAATAAAAACACAGAAACCAGGTTATAACCTTTCATCACAGTCTCGGGCAGAATGTTTATTCGTTAGGGGAATAGTGAAATTTTAATTTGCCTTTTATATTATGAAAATCGACCAATTACTGAGTTTTTTTATGCGGATCTGTATTTGTTGTTTCCATGGCGCTACCAGCGCTATTGACTATTGTTCATGATGACTTAGAGGGGTATCTAATATAAACACAGAAATGAGGATATAACCTTTCATCACAGTCTCGGGCAGAATGTTTATTCGTTAGGGGAATAGTCAAATTTTAATTTGCCTTTTAAATTATGAAAATCGACCAATTCTGAGTTTTTTTAACGGATCTGTTTTTGTTGTTTCCATGCCGCTACCTAATGGTTGATGGTGACTTACGCCCACTTGATGAAGCCTTTTGTTCTGAAAATATTATTGAGCTTTAATTGGGATTTTTAAACACCCTTATCCATTTCTGAACAGATAATTCTCACATGTTATTATCAATTGTTTAAAACAAAAAAGTTACAAAATAAATTAACAGTCCCATCAAATTTTGACTCGTTCCAAAATAATGTCTGGGCCACAGGGAATAATTAGCCGATTAATGGCCGGTACTGAGACAATAAAAGCAAAAAGTAGGTCAGTACCGTAAGGGTTAAAGAGTAAAAAAAAAAGCTTATAGTAATTTATTTAAGCAAGCGAAATACATTTTAAAAAATTCAAATAAAATAAAAATATAGGAAAAATTATTATGACACTTTCCATAAATTACTTAGTTTTTCTGCTTAAAAAACAAAACATGTCATGATGAAAATTAGGCTAGAGTCCTGAAAACTTGATGAGTAACACCTTTCTGAACATGTTTTTACATATACTTGAAAATTACAAGCCTAGATTTTGATCTTTATAAATAACTGCTTGGTCCAATTAGGCTGAAAAGTGTCATCACAATGTGCATTTTCTTCTGTAAAATAACTTAATCTGTTTCTGTAAAATCTGTTTTATGTACCTTTTAATGTTACAATGGTTATGTACTACTACTAACATTGGATTAGTACACGTGGTAATTACTGAACACTTACCCAATTGTTTTTACAACTAGGAATGAAGATCGTGGTAATTACTGAACACTTACCCAATTGTTTTTACAACTAGGAATGAAGATCAAGAAATGTGAATATTGATGGCAATAATCGTCCTTCAATATCACACACTGTACCGTTGTGTTAAAAAATACTCACCTTTTTTTGGCGTATGTAAGACATACCCATATATAAGACGTGAGTTTTGACGATTTGAGTAAAAAATATTTTATATAAGACGTGCGGGGTATGTAAAACTTTGTTTAAGACTCGTCATATATACTCAAAAATACAGTAAATCATGAGCCTTAATTAGACTTAGCTTGGTCCATTTAGGCTCAAAGTTGTAATCACATGTTGCATTTTTTTTTCTCTAACAATAATTTCTACTGTTTCTTTAAAATCTTATTGATTTTTTATCTTACAACCAGCTGCAAAAAACTGAATTCACTTGGTGTATTTCTTCTGCTGTGTTTTTTTTCCTTTAATAACTGCTTAAAAAAGTTTTAAATTAAAAAATAATGGTTAGAGCGGTGGCTCTCAACCTTCCTAATGCCGTGACACTAATACAGTTCCTCATGTTGTGGCGACCCCCAACCACAAAATTATTTTCATTGCTACTTTGTAACTAGAATGTATGTGTTCTTTGATGGTCTTAGGCGAACCCTGGGAAAGGGTCTTTCGACCCCCAAAGGGTTGAGAACCGCTAGGTTAGAGGCTTCAGTTAACATATGCCATAAAACTGAACTAAGTCAAGAAAACACAATTTATACTTATTATTATTATTCATTGCAGCATTTTTTAAATAGGCCCTCTTCATTTTTAGATAACTCTAATGACAATGTGGTTGAGTGCAGAGGAACTCTTTAAAATTCTCATAAATGATTTTTCTGATTAAGACTAAATATGTCATGATGAAAATTAGGCTAGAGTCCTAAAAATTTGATGAGTCATGAAAACACAATTTAAATATCTTTTATTAAAGCATTTGTTATTTTAATTAGTTTGCGTTCAGGGAACTCACTTTGAATGCTCCTCTGTGATTTTTCTGATTGAAAGCAAAACATGTTGTGATGAAAATTTAGGCTAGAGTCTGAAAACTTGATGGATAACACCTTTCTGAACATGATTTTGAATGCAAAGGAACAGTACTTAAATCCTGAACAATTATTTGTAAATAACTACCTTGCCCAGTTTGGCTGAAAATTGTGATCACAAAGTTTATTGTCTTCTGTGACAATAACTTCTACTGTTTGTTTCTTTAAAATCTTATAATCTAATTAATTTTCTTCTGATTCATAGAAGGATTATAGATTTGACTTCAGTTAAAAATTTAAACCTTTCTGAAACAGTTAATAGAATTTATTACAGCATTTTTTAATAGGCCCCTCTTAATTTTGGTTATCTCTAATTAATAATTTTACTCTTGTCCAAAATTTACATTTGATTGCATACAAGTGAACTCTTTAGAATTCTCATCAATTATTATGATTAAAAGTACACATGTCATGATGAAAATTAGGCTAGAGTCCTGAAAATTTGATGAGTAAAACCTTTCTGAACATGTTTTCACATATAACTGAAAATGACCAAAATTATGAGCCTATATTTGGACATTTGTAATTAACTGGTTGGTCTACATGCTGAAAAGGATCATGACAACATGCATTTTCTGCTGTTGCACTTATGTCCACTTTTTTTTTCTTTATAATCTATTTAATGTACTTTGGAATGTTAGAATGTTTGTAGACTTTACTTCAGTTCAAAATTCATGCATTATGAAAGTTAATTCTCATTGTGCATTTTCTTGATAACTAAAAGCTCTTTTTTTTTTTTCTCTATTTCACATATTTTGAAAGTCACTATGTTTATCAGTTAAGAACTTCAAAGAGACTGAATAAGTCATGAAAACACAAGTTAAATATCTTTTATTAAAGCATTTGTTTTTTATAAGCTCCCATAATTTTGGATGACTCTAACGAATAATTTAACACTAGTCAGAAAATTAAAATTTGATTGAATACAGGGGAACTCTAAAAATCTCATCAATGATTTTTCTGCTTAAAAACAAAACATGTCATGATGAAAATTAGGCTAGAGTCCTGAAAACTTGATGAGCAACACCTTTCTGAACATGTTTTCATGCAACTTAAATATTAGTTTCGCCAAGAGCCTTTTCTTCTTCTTTTTTTTTGTTGTTGACTGTTGTAAATAACTTTTTTAAATATATTTTTTTTGCCGATGAGGCTGAAAGTGTCATCAACAATTGCATTTTCTTCTGTAACCATTAATTTTACTGTTTCTTTAAAATATGTTTAATGTAATTTTGCATGTTAAAATATTGCAGGCTTTAAGTTACAAATTTCTAGCAGCTGCGGAAAATTGACTTTTCATTGTTATTTTTTTTCTGTAAACATGATTGAATTTTTTGGTTAAATTTACTTTCTTTTGAATGATAAAAATGGTTTTAGACTTCAGGTGGCCACTTTAAAAAAATTATAATTCCATTCACATTTCAATAAAAGTAAAATTGTGATTAGATACCATGTTTTTGAAAATTAACTCTTCTATCATTAATACATTATTTTTTGTGTCTTAAAGATCACCTTAATTTTGAATTTATCTAACAAATATTTCAACATTTTTTTTACAAAATTTTAATTAGTTTGCGTTCAGGGAACTCATTTTGAATGCTCCTCTGTGATTTTTCTGATTGAAAGCAAAACATGTTGTGATGAAAATTTAGGCTAGAGTCTGAAAACTTGATGGATAACACCTTTCTGAACATGATTTTGAATGCAAAGGAACAGTACTTAAATCCTGAACAATTATTTGTAAATAACTACCTTGCCCAGTTTGGCTGAAAATTGTGATCACAAAGTTTATTGTCTTCTGTGACAATAACTTCTACTGTTTGTTTCTTTAAAATCTTATAATCTAATTAATTTTCTTCTGATTCATAGAAGGATTATAGATTTGACTTCAGTTAAAAATTTAAACCTTTCTGAAACAGTTAATAGAATTTATTACAGCATTTTTTAATAGGCCCCTCTTAATTTTGGTTATCTCTAATTAATAATTTTACTCTTGTCCAAAATTTACATTTGATTGCATACAAGTGAACTCTTTAGAATTCTCATCAATTATTATGATTAAAAGTACACATGTCATGATGAAAATTAGGCTAGAGTCCTGAAAATTTGATGAGTAAAACCTTTCTGAACATGTTTTCACATATAACTGAAAATGACCAAAATTATGAGCCTATATTTGGACATTTGTAATTAACTGGTTGGTCTACATGCTGAAAAGGATCATGACAACATGCATTTTCTGCTGTTGCACTTATGTCCACTTTTTTTTTCTTTATAATCTATTTAATGTACTTTGGAATGTTAGAATGTTTGTAGACTTTACTTCAGTTCAAAATTCATGCATTATGAAAGTTAATTCTCATTGTGCATTTTCTTGATAACTAAAAGCTCTTTTTTTTTTTTCTCTATTTCACATATTTTGAAAGTCACTATGTTTATCAGTTAAGAACTTCAAAGAGACTGAATAAGTCATGAAAACACAAGTTAAATATCTTTTATTAAAGCATTTGTTTTTTATAAGCTCCCATAATTTTGGATGACTCTAACGAATAATTTAACACTAGTCAGAAAATTAAAATTTGATTGAATACAGGGGAACTCTAAAAATCTCATCAATGATTTTTCTGCTTAAAAACAAAACATGTCATGATGAAAATTAGGCTAGAGTCCTGAAAACTTGATGAGCAACACCTTTCTGAACATGTTTTCATGCAACTTAAATATTAGTTTCGCCAAGAGCCTTTTCTTCTTCTTTTTTTTTGTTGTTGACTGTTGTAAATAACTTTTTTAAATATATTTTTTTTGCCGATGAGGCTGAAAGTGTCATCAACAATTGCATTTTCTTCTGTAACCATTAATTTTACTGTTTCTTTAAAATATGTTTAATGTAATTTTTGTATTTTAAAATATTGTAGACATTTATACCAGCTGCCGAGAAGTGTCTTCTCATTATATTTTTTTTTTCTGTAAATATGTTTTGATTTTCTAAAAGCTATGTATCATTCTTTTGAATGTTAAAAATGGTTTTATACTAAGTTGACAATTAAAAAAACAACAAATAACTGTATAATACCATTCATGTCATGATGAAAATTTAGGCTAGAGTCTGAAAACTTGATGGATAACACCTTTCTGAACATGCTTTTGAATGCATTTGGAAATTACTTAAAGCCAGATCCTAGATTTAGACAATTAAATATTTTAAGAAATTATAAAATTCTTTTATTTATCCCAATAAATTGAAATGTTTAAAAAAAAGTAAAATTGTACATTTAAATTTTAGCATATAGATATATTTGTACAAAGACAAACATTTTAAAATTAGATCAATTGAAACACAAGAAATTTAATTATTTCTCAAGTGCAAGAGACAGTCTTATGCCATGGGTTTTCATTCCCTAAGTGACTTTGTTGACTTAAGAGTAATTTCTTAGATTTTGTAACAGCGGGGGGAGCACAATGGTTAATTCAGAAGATTTTTCTGATTAAAAAAACATGTCATGATGAAAATATAGGCTAGAGTCTGAAAACTTGATGACTATTACCACTCTGAACATGATTTAATGTAGGAACTAAGATTTAGTTTATAGGTCATACTTTTATTTTAATGTAAAACAATTGAGTGATCAGTTTGCTAGTAAGACAGAAACAAAGTTCAGATTGACCATGAAAAAGATCTATGTGGAATTAAAGAATATAATGATATTACATTTATGAATTTACAGTCTATTATTTCAATCTACTTTTAATATATTGCTAATGAGTTGGATAATCAATTATTTTAAGTTATTTTATTTTATGGGCTTATTACTTTTTCCATTGATGTCATTTATGAAATGATTTTTATGTCTTTTGCCTTCATTAATATCATTTAAACAAACACAAAAGGTTCTTTTCAAAAGAATTATGAACTCTCCCCCCCTCTCTCTCTCTCCCCCCCACCCCCCATAAGTATTAATTTAACAAAATGTGTTTAATACTAATTATTCTTTAATAGATATTTTTCTAAGAAATTTTTTTTTTAAAGAAAAATATTATTAATGTTGTGATGGAAAAAAGAGAGAGTCTGACAACGGGATCTTCAAGACTTTTCTTTACATTTTGGGTACAAGATTTTTCAGCTCAATAATGAATATACTTTTGTTTTTGTAGTATGTCTTGAAAACTATATTTACACGAGTTTTAATTCAAAATTTCCACTTCATTTCTCTTAGGTTCAGTATTCACACAATCAGGCATGTCAAATGAGCAGAGTGCGAGACTTCCCTCCTGTGTCAGGGTCCATAATATGGGCCAGACAGGTGAGTGACAATTCATATCTATTTATTTATGACTTATGAAAAATTATTACACTTTTATTTGAAAATAAATGTTGAAACTAAGATAAGTAAAGAAAAGGCATTTCCTCAAGGCCCATCGGTATATGAACTGTAGATAAAAAAATTTAATTAAAAATTTTTATTTTGCAATGTTGGAATGTTCTTTTACACTTTATAAATGAAATGCATCCAGGCTTATATCTTTCCAACTTGCCTTTGTAGATTGAACGCCAACTGAATGCATACATGCGACGAGTCGAAGATGTGCTGGGCAAAGGTTGGGAGAACCATGTAGATGGACAAAAGCTGAAAGCAGATGGGGATAGTTTCAAGATGAAACTCAACACTCAAGAACTTTTTGATGACTGGACACGCAAGGTAAGTGAAGTTCACAATGTCTGTTTTATTCACTTAATATTTTGATAAACTGTAAGTTTATTGCAATAAATAACTTCAATATGTTGTATTAATTATTGACTACCAGGGAAACAAAATACATGCTATGATGAAAATTTGGGCTAGAGTCTCTGATGTACTGATGCACAGTTAACATAATCTGAGCATTGTGGTTTTGATTTGTTAAGCTTGGAGTTAAATATTCTGCTGCAACTACTGTTTTTCAGCCATCATTGCTGTTGACTCTGGACATTTTTCATCAATATTTAAACAAATTAATACATGATTTGTTGTAATTGGAAAAATTGAAAAAACCTCCAAAAACTATAAGGTGAACTGCCAAAAACAATAGTTAAATTTGTATCAAGAAGAAAACAAAATTTCTTGTATTCAACCCTAAATAGGTTCAGAACAAACAGCTGACAGTTGTGGGGAAGATATACACCATCACCAGTGTAAGGGTACCCAACAAAGGAAACATTCTCAAACTTGGAGTCAACTTCCAGAGGGAAATCATCCAACTGTCCAAAGAGGTTAGTGCTTCCTAAAATTGGTATACTTTGTAAATGACCTAGAAAATAGAGACTTGTATGAAAATCTCCAGTAGAGAAAATAGTGGGTTGAGTTATTGCTCTAATTGAATTAATTGATGTCATTCACTATAAAGGTGCGCAATTTGAGATGGCTTGGGTTCAGAGTTCCTCTTGCTAATGTCAACAAAGCTCACCAGGCCAATCAGCTGTATCCATTTGCCATTTCTCTCATGGAAAGTGTCCAGTCCTATGACAAAACTCTTAAAAAGGTAAGTATAATAATTAGCTTACATAGATAGGTAAATGGAAAATTTAGTTGTGATTTTACTTAACCCTTTTTTATAAAAGATTAGTGAAAAGTAAAGTCAAGTTTTTGAGGATCTTAGCTCTATAAAACCTTCCACCTGTCATATCTTAAGATTGCCTGTCAATCTTATTATTTTTTAAATATATCCTAGCACATATACATTTCATGATTCTTATCTAGAGATTTAAAAATAATTGATTTAAAATAATTTTTATAAATTAAGAATAATTAATTTTTTATAATAATTATTTCAAAAAATATTTTTTTTTTTAAAATGCAAAACAGATCTTTCATAAGCCCTAATGGGTTTAGATCAAATGTAAAATTAAGCAGTTTACTGCATAAATTTCTTTAGTAAATTACATTAATAACAAACCCTTGGTGAATTTACAATTGCAAATCTGATTATAAGACATGATTTAACGCAACTAAAACAAATTGTGTAGCTGGAACATTGCATAGTTTTACTGCAACAACGGTATCACATTATACCACTAATGGTATTGAAAGGTGTTCTTTTTATCGTCTAGAAAATTTCTTTATAACATTAATTAAAAATAACACCCTTTAAAAAAATTGCACTCAAGTTCTTTCCATCAAAACCAAACATTTTTATTTAGATTGAAAGCAAAGATTCCTTGAAGCTATTGATTGCGGGCTTGAGGAAAGAGTTGCAGAACTTGATAGCTGATGGATGCTGCCTTCAATGGGAGTCTTACAAACTGGATCCTTATGTACAAAGGCTTGCAGACAGTGTCATCAACTTCCAGGAAAAGGTAATTAAAATAATATGTGCGGATCAATTAATTTAACATTTGGTCCATTAAATTTATAGCAGATTGTATTAAACTGACGTTATTAACTTAATTTTTTTTAGGACTTAACTTAAGTCAGCGTTTATATTTTAGAAAAAAAATTATCCCTTGTTCATGCAATCTCTAAGTTAAATTACCCTAAATGAATCAGTGTCCCATGAATGACCAGTCTATTATTTAAATAGGTTGATGATCTGCTGTCCATGGAAGAAGAGATTGATGTTGAAGTCAGAGCCTTAGAGACTTGTACCTACAATGCTGGAACTTTTAGAGAAATCTTAAGCAGGATCCAGAAAGCAGTTGACAATCTCAGTCTTCGTTCATATTCAAACCTGCCCCTCTGGGTAGCTCAGTTGGATGAAGAGGTAAATGTTGAACCAGATTATATTTTAACACATTCAGTTAATGAATTTATTCTTTCTTTCTGTATCAACTTGGTAAATTTTGTTCATAAATATCACTAAATTGGATCTGATGATTTTTATAGGTGGAAAAGAAGCTGGCTGCTCGTTTGGAGGCTGGCCTAAAAGCTTGGACCCAAGCCCTTTTGGGACAAAGAGATCACAATGTTGACCTTTCTATGGACACTGATGATGAGCCTAAACAGCCAACACACAAACCAGGTGGAGACCCCAAGATCAAGGTATATAAAAATGCTTTTTAAAAAAATACTTTCTTATTTTACTACAAATGATAATTTTGTAATTTAAAATTTTAATATTGTGTAAATTAGTATAATAATTCCTATACTTTTATTGATCCAAATAAATGGAAATGTTTTTTATTGCATTGTACGTATTCATTTTCAGCACATAAATAAATATAAATACATATCTTAACCAAGACAACATTTTACAACTATAAAAATTTTAGACAAGACATGTAAAGTATAACGTTTGTATTAGCCATGGTTGATCTCCCTTAGTAACAATAATGACTTAATTAGTGATTATTTATATTAGGTAATTTGTCATTTAACAAAGACATGAGATCTTTATAAAACTATCTGAGAAATCTCTTATTCTTAAAAAATGATTCGCTTTATGCTCACTTTGGTTAAGTACTGTAGTTTAATGGGGGGATCTATTTTACCTAGATAATGGTTTTAAAATGAAAGAAATCCATGTAGTTGTCTAACTTGTATGCTGTTGACTTTACTTCCTTGTAGAGTCTGGTCCATGAGTTACGAATCACCAATCAACTGATGTATGTAAGCCCGCCAGTTGAGGATGCTCAATTCAACATTCTGCAAGAACTCTTTGCATGGGAGGCTGTTGTCACCAGCCTGCCTCGTATACAGCACTCAAGATACCAGGTACTTAGAAAAAATAATTTTTTTTATTTAATGAGTTTATTTTTTCCTGAGCATTTTTAAAAGGTAGCCTGATAAGCAATGGTTGCCACAATGTGTAAACTTCCCATCTATTAAAGTTACTTTACAAAACATGCATTGAAGTAACGCACTTTATAAGATTCCCAATAAGTGTCCCTTCTTCCCCCTTGTACACCACCGCCCTGAACTATATTAATTTTGTAATACCCCTTTTACACTGCATATTTATTACACCATGTCAGTAAAAGAAAAGTAAATATCACACACCAACGCCCTATCAGTATTTTTAAGAACCTCATTTAGTTATTGGGAATTTTATTTACTTAAATCAGCACCATCTGGTAGCGTTCGTGACATTTTTATACAGAGAAAGTTATGTATTTTGAGAATTTGTGTATTTATTTTTTTTACCATTGTTTGAAAAGACAGGTTGAAAGCAGAGTCAGAAGCAAATAATGTGTGTTATTTATTTTTTTTACCATTGTTTGAAATGCAGGTTGGCCTGCAAGCAGAGTCAGAAGCAGATAGTTCATACCGTAATGTGTTGACTAAATTACCTGAAGGCCCTGTTGTGTTGGAATATGCCTATTCAGCCATACAGAAAAGTGTAGAAGAATTCAGGAAATATGTCAATGTAAGTATATAACTTCTATTTTCAATCACTTTGGAAAGTGCTAATTCAACTTTTAAATATTTATTTTTCACCAAATGTTTCAAACTTTTTAAATTAAAAAAAAATATAAGTTGCAAATGGATTATTTATGTTCAGGTTTGGCTCCGTTACCAATCCCTATGGGATTTGAACCCTGATGTGTTGTACTCTCGACTAGGCAACAATCTAGTTCGATGGATGAAAGCACTAGAAGATATCAAGTAAGTCAAGAGCACATCGATCAACATTTCTTTTAATTGCTTCTTAATTTATATGTAACACATTTAATCTAGTCATGTGTTGAAGCTATGAAATGTTTTATTACTGCTTAAGCTAAAAAGTAAACAAACCATTAACTTATTATAATTAAAAAAGAGTTTTTGCGTTTGCATGACAATGAAGTGTTTAAATAAAATGTGGCTATTGTTAGTGATTTTCTAATTTAGTTAACAGTAAACCACAAAGGTGCTTAAGTTGTTTTTTTTAAAACTAATTATTTTCTTCATTTTAGGGCTTCTCGCAAGACCTTTGACACCTCTGAAACACAAAAAGAGATTGGTCCACTCATCATCCAGTTTGGCAAAGTAAGTATTTACTTAAACTATTACCTTATGGAATTTGAACCTGTCTTACATATTATAATAAATTAAATTCTATTTAGTCACTTTCAAATTTTTTAAGTAGAAATCTTCATGTAATACAATTTTTTTAAAAACACCTCAAAATTTGTTGTGCCCTATAACTATGTATTTTAGTATTTATACTATAATAGTTTTGTAACTTTCTGTATTTATGTGCAACTGATAGGTTCAGTCCAAAGTTTCCCTGAAATATGACTCATGGCACAAAGAAGTTCTCAGCAAGTTTGGATCACTGTTGGGTAATGAGATGGCAGAATTCCATTCCCAAGTTTCAAAAGTAATTAACATTTTTATTAATTTTTTATATGGATAAATCAGCATGAATTATAATCCATTAAAATGAAGGAGAAAGGAATATAGAATATATGCTTGTATATCAACCATCTGTAAAACAAATGTGTATTTAATTAAGTTATATTCACGTGTTTGTGTAACATGTTGCAGTCTCGAACTGACCTGGAATCTCAGTCCATTGACACAGCAAACACATCTGAAGCTGTTGGCCTCATCACTCATGTTCAATCGCTTAAGCGCAAAGTTAAATCTTGGGAGAAACAAGTGGAAGTGAGCAAATCTTGTATTCATTCATAGCTTATTTAGTTGGTTCTCATTTGTTACTGAAGTGGCCAGTATTTGAAAATATTATGTTTCCATGCTGCATTTTGCTATTCTCCAAAACTGAATAAAAAAATAATTTCAAGAACACACAGCATTTTAAATGCTTATACCGTAAACTACATAAATTGCTAAGTTGTGAAAGGGATTAAAAAAAATTATACCAGCACAGTTAAAATTGTTTTTAAGCAACATAATATTTGCTATTTCTTCATTATAGTTATCCTGATGTTATTTTCTAGACATATAAAGAAGGCCAGCGCATCCTTGAGCGTCAGAGATTCCAATTTCCAGCTCAATGGCTTTATATTGACAACATTGAAGGAGAGTGGGGAGCCTTCTCAGACATCATGAAGAGAAAAGACTCCTCAATCCAAACCAGAGTTGCCAGTTTGCAAATGAAGATTGCCTCAGAGGATACCCTCATAGAAAACAAGACAGGCACACTTTTACAAGAATGGGAAAAAGAGAAACCTGTTACGGTAGGTAGATTTAATGGATCGTGGTCAAAATAATGAATAAGAAATGTGGAACTCAGAAATATTAGATTATTGGCTCCCAATTTTATTTTGAGTTACATATTGCCTTACTAACGACAGTATAATTCTACCATAATTATTTCCTTGATTTTGGCACTTGTCCTATTGTCGGATGGACTTTTACTGACTTTCATCAGTTATAGCGTTGCCATGTCTTAACTTTTTTTTTTTAAACAACAAAATTTCACCTGTTAGCGCCCCCCCCCCCCCCCCCCCCCCGTACTTTTTAATGGAATTTATGCTACTAAATAGTTTTTAAATAAATTTTTTAAGTGGTCTTATATAGCAAGGTGAGCCCAGTCCTAGGCTGGGGTACTGCACTGTATGAGACCACTAATAATAATAATCAATTTTTAATTTTGTTATCAGAATTTAAAAATTTTATAGTATTATCAATATTCTCTATGTTTAGGGTGAGATGAGACCTGACAATGCACTAAAGGCCCTCACCATATTTGAGGGCAAATTTTCTAGGCTGAAAGAAGAAAGAGACAATGTAGCAAAGGCAAAAGAAGCCCTTGAACTTACTGAACCAGGTAGGCCTTTAATATATTGTTGTGGTCACTCTCTTAAGCCAGGTTTTCCAAAATGTTAAACACTTTAAACCTAAAACTTTTGACATTAACTTTCATAAAGTATTTGGTTTATCATCTGATAGAAAATGTACTTTCCATCCATACAGTTCTTTTTTAAACATATTTTTACAGTACGTTGGGATGCCCTAGATCTTCAATACATTTTAAGCACATATGAAATACATATTTTTGAAAAAGTCAAGATTCTGATTTGATTGATGCACAAGTTAACTTATTCTGAACATAACCACTATGTCTAAATATATAAGTTTGCATTATGCAAAAACAAAAATATGACCATGTTATGATGAAAACTTGGGCTAGAGTCTCTGATTTGATTGATGCACAAGTTAACTCATTCTGAACATAACCACTATGTCTAAATATATAGGGTAAGGATTATGCAAAAACAAAAATATGACCATGTTAGAGTCTCTGATTTGATTGATGCACAAGTTAACTCATTCTGAACATATCCACTATGTCTAAATATCTAGGGTAAGGATTATGCAAAAACAAAATTATGACCATGTTATGATGAAAACTTGGGCTAGAGTCTCTGATTTGATTGATGCACAAGTTAACTCATTCTGAACATAACCACTGTCTAAATATATAGGGTAAGGATTATGCAAAAACAAAATTCTGACCATGTTATGATGAAAACTTGGGCTAGAGTCTCTGATTTGATTGATGCACAAGTTAACTCATTCTGAACATAACCACTATGTCTAAATATATAGGGTAAGGATTATGCAAAAACAAAAATATGACCATGTTAGAGTCTCTGATTTGATTGATGCACAAGTTAACTCATTCTGAACATAACCACTGTCTAAATATATAGGGTAAGGATTATGCAAAAACAAAATTCTGACCATGTTATGATGAAAACTTGGGCTAGAGTCTCTGATTTGATTGATGCACAAGTTAACTCATTCTGAACATAACCACTATGTCTAAATATATAGGGTAAGGATTATGCAAAAACAAAAATATGACCATGTTAGAGTCTCTGATTTGATTGATGCACAAGTTAACTCATTCTGAACATATCCACTATGTCTAAATATATACGGTAAGGATTATGCAAAAACAAAAATATGACCATGTTATGATGAAAACTTGGGCTAGAGTCTCTGATTTGATTGATGCACAAGTTAACTCATTCTGAACATAACCACTATGTCTAAATATATACGGTAAGGATTATGCAAAAACAAAAATATGACCATGTTATGATGAAAACTTGGGCTAGAGTCTCTGATTTGATTGATGCACAAGTTAACTCATTCTGAACATATCCACTATGTCTAAATATCTAGGGTAAGGATTATGCAAAAACAAAAATATGACCATGTTATGATGAAAACTTGGGCTAGAGTCTCTGATTTGATTGATGCACAAGTTAACTCATTCTGAACATATCCACTATGTCTAAATATCTAGGATTGAATTAAGCAATAAATAGTTCTAAACAATGTCAGATTAGTTTTTTTTGGTTTTGTCATGCACTGAACAAATTTTGGGGGCATATCAAATACTATAATTAATCAAAATATAATTGAAATTTTTGTTTCTAAAATTGTAAAGGCTATGTGAGCCCGAGCCATGAACGTATGCAAGTTGGCCTGGAGGAACTCCAAGATTTGAAGGGAGTCTGGCAGGAGTTGGCTAAGATTTGGGAACAGATTGATGAGCTGAAAGAGAAGCCCTGGCTCTCTGTTGCTCCTCGAAAAGTAAGGCTTACCTCATATTTTTTTGTGACCTGAACATTGACAATAATTAATCAAATGGTTTTATTTTTTTAGGTGATCAATTTAGAAAATTAATTTTAACAGATTTTAAAATTGAAAGTCTGTTGTGATAATCAGATTGTCTTAAATATGGTAGATTTAAAACATTAGTTCATTTTGCTTTTATTAAATTTCACCCCCCACCCACCTAGGGGCTCTTTCCCCCAAAGGTTGTATCCTGCCAGTGCAAGCCACCAAAAAAAAAAAAAAAAAAAAAAAATTAAAAAAAAAACATTAGTTCATTTTGCTTTTATTAAATTTCACCCCCCACCCCCCTAGGGGCTCTTTCCCCCAAAGGTTGTATCCTGCCAGTGCAAGCCACCAAAAAAAAAAAAAAAAAGAAATTAAAAATAATCTCTCCTCATATGTTATGATGAAAGCTTGGGCTAGAGTCTCTGATATTGGCTGATGCACAAGTTCATTTAATCTGAACATAAAAACTTTTCTTTCTCATGACCTCAGTTGTGTTTATCTTGTCATTGCTTTGATTTTCTCTGCTTTTTTAAAAAAAAAATCACAGAAAATGTCTGAAAAGTCTTTTTGTTTTAATCAGTCACTGAAGTTAGGAATGTCTTTTATTGCTAAAGGAACCAATAATTTAGGTGTTTCTTAATCTATAGAGTTTAGATGAAAGGTCTTTTGTAGTGTTGAAACCTATAAAAATGTATGTTTGCCCATGATCATTCTGGCCATCATATGTTGTTAGATGATTTAGTCTCCTACATTTTATAGGGATGAACGTAGAGGTAAGACCTCACTTAATGATCTTTTCATATTCCAGCTAAGACAGTCCATTGATGGACTTCTAAATGTGATGAAAGAGCTGCCAGCAAGACTGCGAGCATACTCTTCATTTGAATATGTCAAAAAACAACTGCAGCAATATGCCAAGGTTTGGGACTATGTATTTTTTAAATTTACAAATTTCAATATCCATTTTAGTAGTCTTCCTAATTATATCATGTTAAATTGTGCTGAATTTTAAAGAGCTGTATTTTTTACTAAAATTACTTCAAATAAAATTTAGAACTGTGAAATTCATTTCTTTTAACATGTCATAAAGAACAGATTGAAGAGAAAACTTTCATGGCGGTCACTACCATACTTTTATTAAGTGTTTTTTTTTTTTAATTTTCTTAAATCATCCTTTAATAAGATGGCCTATATATCCTGGTGTATATAAATATGTAGGTGAATGTGTTGATTGTGGAACTAAAGTCTGAAGCTCTGAAAGAGCGACACTGGAAGCAGCTGATGAAAAGACTTAACGTGAACTGGGTGCTCTCCGAGTTGACACTTGGCAACATCTGGGACATTGACTTTGTCAGACATGAACTCACCATCAGGGATGTTATCAGTGTGGCTCAGGGTGAGATGGCTCTTGAAGAGTTTTTGAAACAGGTCAGTTTTATTTAGCGAAACAGCTTTTCTATTCAAGTTATAACTGCTAATATATAGATTAAAATAAGTTTCAAATTTATATATATACACACTGAGACCAAAGTCGTGAATCCATTGATTATATATGTAGCAAAAGTGTATGCAAGTGTATACAAATATGTATGTGTGATGGTTGGCCGAGTGGTTTAAATTGTCTCACTCCAAATAGTGGTGGTCTTGAGTTCAATGCCTTCCAAAGCCAAAAGTCAAGTCCCAGGTGGATGGGACTCGTTAGCCTTAGAAGGAAACTCATCTAAGAGAAGGCTAAATCTGAATTCAAACCATGAGCCAAAATGATCAATAAATTGATTGTGGGCCCTCAAATATAGGGGGGGGGGGGAATTAATATTAAAATCATTTACAAAAATATAATAATTACCAAATGCTAACATACAATATTTCATTTTTTTGTTTTTTATTATCTCAATTGATTAAATTATTAAGTTACTTCAAAACTAATGAAAGTTTTCTCTTTAATATTTATATAATTTCAAGTATTGTTTCAACTTTATTTTGCTTCATGAAGTAATCTTGGGTAATCTTACCAAGGTTTTAATCTCCATATAAACCATTTTAGCTATCAATTTAGGCATTCATTGTATTTATGTTCATAAATCACTAGGTGAGTGAAGTGTGGCGCAGCTATGAGCTGGACTTGATCAACTATCAGAACAAGTGTCGTCTGATCCGAGGATGGGATGACCTGTTCACCAAAGTCAAAGAGCACATCAACAGTGTTACTGCAATGAAACTCTCGCCTTATTACAAGGTAAGTTTTGGCCGATTTGGTCTCCTTAAACTGGTAGCCACATTTTTAATCTTACGTTTAAGAAACTATAAGACTGAGTGATACTAATTATGTTACTTATATCATATTATATTAAAAAATAAAATCCAAGATATAAAAATTGTAAACAAAATTGATGTTACTGGGGGCGAACTTTTGGACTTATTGCATCATTCATGAAAATTATTTGTGGTCTTTATAGCAATTTGAAGAGGATGCACTGTCATGGGAAGATAAGCTGAACCGTATCAATGCATTGTTTGATGTCTGGATTGATGTTCAGAGGAGATGGGTTTACCTTGAAGGTATTTTCACAGGCAGCGCTGACATCAAACATTTACTTCAAGTGGAGACCACACGTTTTCAGGGGTATGATTATTTTAAAGAATAAAAAATATATATACTGGTTTTGATTTCCAAGACACAGAAAGTTTTTTTAAAACTTACTTGTTATATAAATATTAGATTAATAATATATTTTTAAAAATTCGGGTAGCCTCAATGTTTTTTTATTTACAAATTGGTCTTTCATATTTGATGTTTTTTAAACAAAGAATAATAAGGTTTCTGCAAAAGAAAAGTTAACTAAAGGCATATTTACCATTTTTATAAACGTTTTTAATATCTTATTTAAATACATCTTCAGAGTGAGCACTGAATATTTGGGCTTGATGAAGAAAGTAGCAAAGTCCCCACTAGTCATGGATGTCTTGAACATTCCCAATGTGCAGAGACAATTAGAGAGACTTGCAGATCTGCTCAGCAAGATTCAGAAAGCTCTTGGTGAATACTTGGAGAGGGAGAGAGCTTCCTTCCCTAGGTCAGTATTACATGACAATAACACGTTATTTTAGAACATATTAGAAATTAAATTGTCTTAATTGGTACATGCAACAAAATTTATGGTTTCTGGGGTTTAAAAAAAAAAAGCTGAATTGATGGTATAGCTATTTTTTTATTACTGTTTACTCTTTCAATAGGAATGCAATTAATATTAGTGGAAAGACATTCAATGATATTTTTTTAATGAAAAAATTTTCTATGTGGTAATAAAAGATTCATGATGAAAACTTGGGCTAGAGTCTCTGACATGAGTGATGCACAAGCTTACTTTTTCTGAACTTTTTTATTCAAGACCCGTCAAATGTAGATTTATGTTAAGTCCATTCATATACACAAAATATGTTTTAAAAATTACTCTTTCACACTAGTGTTACAATTTTAAATATTTAATGCAAAATATCATGAATTACATTTTTAGTCCTGTATTATATTTTTAGAATGATTAAATTACAATATTTTAATTCTTATTTCCTTTACATCCTTCTACACCTTATTAAATTTGACATAATTTTGATATTTCAGATTCTACTTTGTGGGAGATGAAGACTTGCTGGAAATCATTGGCAACAGCAAAAACATTCCTCGTTTGCAGAAGCACTTCAAGAAAATGTTTGCTGGTGTTGCTTCCATCATACTCAGTGAGGATGAGTCTCATGTTATTGGCTTGACCTCAAAAGAAGGAGAAGAGGTAAGGGCTTTTGTTTTTAAACAATTATAATGGACCAGGATCATTAAACTTTACCAAAAAGGTAAAAAAAAAATTTCCATTTATTAGCAAACCAAGTAATCCATTTGCATTTTCTTATTAAAATACCTTAGGAAATAATAGATTTGCCATGATAAGTTTCTAAACTCTATTTTTAACAGGTGATCTATGCTTCTCCAGTATCTATCGCAGCCCACCCTAAGATCAATGAATGGCTGACACTAGTAGAAAAGGAAATGAGAGTCACCCTTGCCAAACTGCTGGCTAATGCAGTACAGGACATGGCAGCTTTCAAAGGAGGAAAAGTTGAACCATCAAAGTATCTTGAATGGGTTGATAAATACCAGGTAATAGTCATACACTATAACACTTACATATATGGTTCAACTTTTAATTTAAATTGAAGGAAATAAGTGAACACAACAAAGTCAGCAAGAAGTTTTCTTCAACGATTGTACAATTAATCAAACAATAAAGTTCATACTGGATTTTACTTTAAAATTTTATGATGCATATTTTTGTGTATTTGATTGATGATGTTTATTATTTTAATCTAGGCCCAACTGGTGGTTCTGGCTGCACAAATCTCATGGTCAGAAAGCATGGAGCAAGCTCTACAGACTGCAGCCAACAAAGGAGGTGACATGGCAGCAGTTATGGAAGTTTTGGGCACTGTTGAGTCAACACTCAATGTACTGGCTGACTCTGTGTTACATGAACAGCCTCCTGTCAGACGCAAGAAACTGGAGAGCCTGGTAAAAAAATAATTATTAAAATGGTGAAAAAATTAAACCGCACATTGAGGATTTGCTCTACAAAAGTATAATAGATTTACATACATTTTTTGTTCAAATTTTTAAAGGTGCTACATGTTAAATTAGTTATGAATTTTATTCCAAAATAAACTAATTAATAAAAATTATTTAAAGATTCTAGACATTATTTTAATTATTTTAATAATAAGATCTGTTGTTCTGAATTACTTTCAAAATATAATTACTTAATAATTTTCATATGAAATGTCCATAATTAAGAATAAAATTATACTTTATACTTAGAGTTTTGAAATTATTGATTTATATTTAACTTTATGACTGGAAATATGAAGCTACAGCTGTATGCTGTATGTTGTTTTATTCATCATTGCATAACCATTATCCCGTAAGTACATGATTTGTATCAATGATTCCCATAGATCACTGAGCTTGTCCACCAGCGTGATGTGAGCAGAAGCATGGTGAAAAATAAAGTTAACAACCCTAAGTCCTTTGACTGGCTGGCACAGATGAGATTCTATTTTGATCCCAAGAACACAGATGTCCTCCAACAACTTTCCATTCAGGTTTGTCATTCTAAAATAAATTTTCATTTTATTTTTCATCTGTTTTGGGTCATTTGGTTATTCAATTTTTAACGACCGTCATACTTACGGGGTAACTTAAAGGAAAATATTTAATATTTAATTCTTGAATATACCTAATTCAAAGTTTTGTGATATATTACAAATTATATACTGTGTAGTTCCAAAGAAAAATTGCATTTGAAATAGTGTGTAAAAAAGAGTCTTCCTATTTTGCTCCTCAGATGGCTAATGCCAAGTTCAATTATGGCTTTGAATATCTCGGAGTTCAAGACAAACTTGTTCAAACCCCTCTTACAGATCGCTGTTACTTGACTATGACACAAGCTCTTGAGGCAAGGCTAGGAGGCTCTCCATTTGGTAAAGCATTTATGTCAATTATAACACTGTCATTGAGTCAATTTACTTTATAGAAACTTGGAGTAAATAGCTTTGATTTAGTATTGTATCTCTTTTAGGGACACCTGTTAAATAAGACCTGAAAATTTCACGTAACGCTTATCCCAAGGCTCCAGTAAATAAAATTTAAAACAATAATAGAGCTCTAACAATAATACATGAACAAAAAAAAATTTGAAAGAAAAAGGACAATGCAACTGTAGATCAGGGTTTTGTTGTAAAATATGTGTGTATCCACAACTAGTTTTACATTAAATGTGTTTCTTTATTTCCATAGGTCCTGCTGGAACTGGAAAGACTGAATCTGTCAAAGCCTTGGGCAATCAGCTGGGAAGATTTGTTCTGGTCTTCAACTGTGATGAAACCTTTGATTTCCAGGTGAATAACGCATCCCACTAAATAGTTGAAGCCATTTCATGCTGTGGTATATTTATGTGCTTCATACTTTAACAGTAATTTTCTTATAATTTTTTTCCTTTACAATTGTCCAGGCCATGGGCCGTATCTTTGTCGGTCTTTGTCAAGTAGGAGCCTGGGGCTGCTTTGACGAGTTCAATCGTTTGGAGGAACGCATGCTTTCTGCTGTCTCACAGCAGATTCAAACAATTCAAGAGGCATTGAAAGATTTGGCCAGTCCAGACAAGAAGGACAAAGGTAAGACAGGTTGACTTTTATTTAATTTGTGATGTAAACCAGAAATTTTAATTTATGTCAAGTGTTACGTGAAATGGAGGATTTTTAAATAACTCATTTTTTTACAGGCTACAGACTTTGATTTTATGCAAAATTAATGCATTTGGAATATTTTTTCCCTTAAAGTGATGATTTTAAATATTTATTTTGACATGAAAGGCTGTTTGAAATTCATTTTTATTTACAGAAATAATAAAGCTAATGTGATTTTAATTATGAAAATTGGATTTTTCAATTGGTCTTAAATTGATGTGGGTTTTTTTATTAATCTCTAGGAAATGGCCCTATCCTAGTAGAGCTTATCGGCAAGCAAGTCAAAGTCAATCCAGATATGGCTGTCTTTATCACCATGAATCCTGGCTATGCCGGTCGCTCTAATCTACCTGACAACTTGAAAAAACTTTTCCGCTCCCTGGCTATGACAACCCCTGACCGTCAGCTCATTGCTCAGGTTATGCTGTACTCTCAGGGCTTTAGACAAGCTGAGAAATTGGCAAGCAAGATTGTACCTTTTTTCAAGTTAGTATCATAACTATTATTTCTAACTATTTGATAATTGCCATAGAAAAATGACAATCTGCAGAACTTACAAAAAGTGAAGTGTAAAAAAAAAAAATGAATTTAAAGCATTTTCATTTAAAGGTCATTTGTATTCATAAAATGTATTTTCATTTCAAAATATTTCTATCAAACTTGTTTATAATTGAAGGTTATTTTCTACTTAGGAAAATATATTTTCAATTTCTCCGTTGTGTTACTGATAATCCTTAAATGAATTTATTTTCTGAATTGTGTGAAAAAACAAATTTAACTGGAATATTTCATTCCAGGCTATGTGATGAGCAGCTTTCACCTCAGTCCCACTACGACTTTGGCCTGAGAGCTTTGAAATCTGTACTGGTCAGTGCTGGTAATGTAAAGAGAGACAAGATCCAATATGTCAAACAGGGTATGATCGAGAGAGGAGAAACAGTGGATGAAACAACCATTGCTGAAAATATCTCAGAACAAGAGGTATGACCATTATATTTCTATATTTGTGTTGTGTGATTGTATATGCCCAATATAAATGTTTGAATAAATATATATATATATATATATATATATATATATATATATATATATATATATATGTGTGTATATATTTCTATATTAAAATGTTATTTTTTTATATATATATTTAAATATAAATATATATATATATATATATATATATATATATATAGATATATATATATATATATATATATGTGTGTATAAGTTTCTAAATTAAAATGCTATTGAATTATATATTGATTCAAATATACTTGCAGAAATCATCCTGTCCGGCTTATAATCTTTGGAGGTTCCTAATTTTATTTTTCTTAGATTTTGATTCAAAGTGTGATGGAGACAATGGTGCCCAAACTGGTAGCTGAAGATATTCCATTGTTGCATAGCCTTTTGAGTGATGTGTTTCCAGGTGTAGAGTACACTGCTGCAGAAATGACCGCTTTGCGCAACCAAATCAGGAAAGTCTGTGAGGAAATGTACCTTGTTTATGGAGAAGGTGATGAAATGGGAACCATGTGGGTTGAAAAGGTTAGAATTTTTTAAAAGCTTAAGCATAAGATCACTGCTAGAGATTTGTAGGGTGTTAAGTGTAATTTCAAATGATTTTGTTTTTTCTAATCACTCGGCAAATAATTTTAATAATTTCCAGTTATTTGATAAGACAAAATAATAACAACGTATCAAGTCTTTACAAATAGCATATTCCTTATAGTAAAAAAATCTATCATTATTTAGCTCACAAAAAAAAAAAATATCTAAAGTAATGCAGCAATTTGTTTTGTTTCATAAAATAACTTAAGGTTCTCCAACTGTATCAAATCACCCTCCTACATCATGGTCTCATGATGGTGGGACCCAGTGGAAGTGGGAAGTCTATGGCCTGGCAAGTGCTGCTCAAGGCTTTAGAAAGATTGGAAGGAACAGAAGGAGTGGCTCATGTCATTGATCCTAAGGTACTAGATTATATTAATTTTTTAAAAAATAACATATTTGTTTTAACTCGTTAAGCTATGACAATACAGTACGTTATTAATTATACTACTCTCTCCTCTCTTTATTTAGTCTCAATACAGTACGTTATTAATTATACTACTCTCTCCTCTCTTTATTTAGTCTCAATACAGTACGTTATTAATTATACTACTCTCTCCTCTCTTTATTTAGTCTCAATACAGTACGTTATTAATTATACTACTCTCTCCTCTCTTTATTTAGTCTCAATACAGTACGTTATTAATTATACTACTCTCTCCTCTCTTTATTTAGTCTATCTCCAAAGAGGCCCTCTATGGTAATATGGACCCCAACACCAGGGAGTGGACTGATGGTCTCTTCACCCATGTCTTGAGAAAGTAAGTTATTTTTCATACTTAACATTAAAGTTCTGATGTTTTCATGTAAACATGTGAGTGTACAAAAATTGATTTTTTTCATCAAAAATATTTTTAAAAATAAAGATTAGGCAAATCGAAGTATGTAGTATAGATAATGGTTAACAGAAATTATGTAGAATAAATTATGGTAAATAGATGTGATGTAGAATAGATAATGTTAAAATTTCTAGTTAACTACTCATGAACTAATTTTAAAAAGAAATTTTTTAAAATATATAAACTGTATAAAGGACAATTTATTAAAAGCACATCCTTCATCTTATAACTTTATTAATTTTGCTATTATTTTCTGCATTTTTTTTTCAATACTCATTATTTAATGTCACTCATGATAAATTATATATAATGCTTTATTCAAATTAACTGACAAAAATTTCATTGGAATTCATCCCATGAATTTTTTTAGGATCATTGACAATGTCAGAGGTGAACTTGGTAAACGTCAATGGATCATTTTTGATGGTGATGTAGACCCTGAATGGGTTGAAAACCTTAACTCTGTACTTGATGACAACAAGCTTTTGACCCTTCCCAATGGCGAGCGTCTCGGCATTCCTCCTAATGTGAGTACATTTTTAAAAAAAAACAAAGAATTGAATTTATTTCTATCATCTTCTATCATCTTGTTTAATATTTAAGAGAAGAATTTTTGTAATTTCTTTAATACCCATTCCAGCAAGTCTGTTATTTTTCTTATTTGAAAGTCAATTTTGTATTTTTGTTTAATATTTAATTTTTGTAATTTATTTAATACCCATTCCAACAAGTCTGTTATTTTTTCTTATTTGAAAGCCAATTTTGGATTTTTAAAATAATTTATTAACCAAAGATTTATCTACTTTTGTCATACTTTAACTTAACTGAGACAAAATGAAAAATTAATTATCTTAATTTTTTATTTTATCAAAAGTGGATAGAAAAAGGATAATTGTTTACAGCTTTCTGTTCTTATGCATGTTTCCCAGGTGCGCATAATGTTTGAAGTACAAGATTTGAAGTATGCCACCCTGGCCACAGTCAGTCGTTGTGGTATGGTATGGTTCAGTGAAGATGTATTGTCCACTGAGATGGTGTTTGAGAATTACCTGCGACAGCTCCGCAGTGTGCCCCTGGAAGAGAGTGAGGAAGATTATCGTCACAACAGGGCAGCTGGTGGAGAAGCTAAGGAGGATGAAGTGTCACCAACTGTGCAGGTTAGTATTTTATTCCTATTTTTATTTTTGTTTTGTTGGTAAATCTTATAAAATTAAATGTCATTGTAAAATATTTTTTTTTCAACATAATTCTGATTATATCAAGTTGTCACAAAATTTAAAAAGTGAATCTTAACTGATATTATCTATAATTTATAATTGCATATGTTGTCTTAACAGATCCAGCGTGATGTTATGAACATCCTTTCACCCTACTTCTCACTTGGTGGGCTTGTTAACCGTTGCCTGGAACATGCAGAGACACTAGACCACATCATGGACTTCACTAGATTGAGGGCTCTTACTTCCCTTTTCTCAATGCTCAACCAAGGCATAAGAAACATACTTAACTACAACCACTCACATGATTTTGCCATGCAAGTAAGGATTCAACATTTAAAAAAATATTGCTAGGCTATTGTGAAAGATGTTGATTCATCAAGAAAAGATAAATGGGTTATTGCTGGTAATTTTTGTCTCTAGAATCCATGAAACTAAAAATAACCTTGTTTCAATTTGTAATCCATTTTTTAAGTTGAATAAAAGTTAAAATCTTTTAATGATTTATGGAGATACATTTTACTGCATAATTAGTTTCATGCAGATTTTAAGGTTATGTAAAGAGTATAACAAAAAAAGCTGAAGTTAAAATTAATACTTTCGTTCTCACATATCTAGCAAGACCAGATTGAACGTTACATGACCAAATACCTGGTGTACAGTTTGCTTTGGTCAATGTCGGGAGACAGTCGAATCAAGGTTCGCCAGGAGCTGGGTGACTTCATCAGAAGCATTACCACTATCCCTCTCCCTCCACAAACCAATGTTGCCATCATTGACTTTGAAGTATGTTAATTTTTTAAAAATTATTTTTTTGAAATGTGACCTTTTAGTGGGGAAAAAACTTTTGATATTATTTTCAAATTTGATCAGTTAAAAGTGTAGCGTAGAACTTCAATTGCTTTATTATCTGTAAAAATTTCTTTGGGCATCCATTTTGTCAAGTAAATGTTTAGAAATTCAACCTTAAAATATCTCTAATAACTACAAGGTTTACTTATGCTTTGATATATAAATATTCTCATTAGTTACCTTTAACATATTACTGAGTGCCTTATTATTTACTGCTATCAGGTTGCCACTTCTGGTGAATGGGTTGCCTGGCAAACCAAAGTTCCACAAGTGGAAGTTGAGACCCACAAAGTTGCAGCCCCAGATGTTGTCATCCCAACTATTGACACTGTCCGCCACGAGAGTCTGCTGTACACCTGGCTGGCAGAGCACAAACCCCTTGTCTTGTGTGGTCCACCAGGCTCTGGCAAGACTATGACATTATTCAGTGCTCTTAGAGCCCTGCCTGACATGGAGGTAAAATACAACTGCTTTTCAGTAATACTGATAAGTTAAGATAAAAATGTAATTTACCCCCATGCCCCAAAGCATACACCAGAATAATGCATATTCAGAAAGGAAGTTTATTTTTCTAAATAATATTATGAAGTAAAAAAGTAAATTCTATTATATATTAATTTTCCTCTGCTGGTTACAGTAAGTGAAATAAACCCCAAAAAATTTAAACATGCAACATTCACTTTTTAAAATGTCTATTTCCTCATGGATTGCACCTCAACAGGTGGTAGGCTTGAACTTTTCCAGTGCAACCACTCCTGAGCTTTTATTGAAGACTTTTGACCATTACTGTGAATTCCGAAGGACACCCAATGGGCTTGTGTTGTCCCCCATTCAGCTCAACAAGTGGCTGGTCTTGTTCTGTGATGAGATCAATCTGCCAGACATGGACAAATATGGTAAGTCAAATGAGAAAAATACATTATTTCAATTATATGATCATTGGTCATGAAATAGCAAAGCTTAACAGCATTTTAATATACAAATTGGGATCTAAATAAAGACTATATTCCTTAAAATATTGTATTGTTTTGTAATAACTTAATCAATTAAGGTCAATTTGAGAGAAGAAAAATAAAGTTGGGTAAAAATACACATTTTTTTGGGGGCTAATGAACACATAATGAACCCTATGCTGGGGTACTGCGATATATAAAACCATCTAATAATAATTCAGTATCCTATATTCTTGAAAGGAAGACATAATTATATTATCTATGCTTCAATCAGGCACCCAGAGAGTCATCTCCTTCCTGCGTCAGATGGTGGAACATGGTGGCTTTTACCGTACTTCAGACCAGACTTGGGTTAAGTTTGAGCGCATCCAGTTTGTTGGTGCTTGTAACCCACCGACTGACCCTGGAAGAAAACCTCTGTCATACAGGTAAATCTCAACATAAACAGTTAAGAAAGAAACACATATTTTCAAAGGGAAATTTGAATAGTGGTTAAGTAAGAGTTACTATAAAATGTGTCTCACACTTGACAACACCAAGGCTTTAACCTGCGAAGTTCCTTAAATTGCAATGGAGTTGGATTGTATGTAATAGTTGTTACGCACTGACTTGTATTGGGAGAAATTAATCTCCTATTTTAATTTTAATTGGCTCCTTGTAATCAGTGCCTAACAAAGGACGATACCACAGAATCAACAATATTAAAGATACGACCCAAAACAGTTTCTAGTTACAATTAATAAGATTTATTATGTCTAAAGATAATTACAAAATAAAAATAAAATAAAATTACAATCTTCAACTTACAGTATGGTGGATCTCGTACCGGTACACAGTTAATACAATTAGAAATAATGATGCCAATAAATAATACGAAATAAACACATATAAGTAGGAGCACACAAATACACAAAGAATAAAACACGCCTCGTAATGTTAAGAGAATCTATCNGGAACAGATTAATTATTTTTATTCGTTGGCGGCGTAAACAAGAAATACATCAAAGACCTAAGCCACACCCCTTTGTGAACACAGCGTCTCATGCGGGGTCAATCAGAGGGCACGTACGAGAAATATTGTGTAAACAAGCTCTCTATAACATAGTAATTAGAAATGAAACCAAACAAAAAGTTGATATGGTTTTATTAATATTTTTAGAACATAAACAGGTGCACACTAATTTAGTGTTATCATTTATCCTGAAATGTTAATCAAAAGTTATCTGTATCATAGACTTTATTGGGTAGTGCAAAAAAAAAAAAAAAAAGATCTTTGAAGTAAAAAAAACCAACAAAAACAGTTATTTACAATTTATCAAACATACTTTTATGAAATCCATTTTCCTCCATTTTAACACTATGTTCATATATTCGTGTTTGCTGTTCATTACACTTTCTGATCATTTGAGGCCATTACTCCAACGTTCATAAAATGAACTTGATCACAAAGTCTCAAGAAGATAAATGTTTATAAAAAAAATAAACATGGCTTTAAAACATCTTGGTTTTTTTTTTTTCATTTTTTAAAATTTCTGTTTGAATTAACAAAATGTGTATCTCTTTCCCCAGATTTTTGCGTCATGTTCCAGTTGTGTATGTGGACTATCCAGGTGAACTGTCACTGAAGCAGATTTATGGCACATTCAACAGAGCTATGCTTCGACTTGTTCCCAGCCTGAAACCTTATGCAGATCCTCTAACCAATGCCATGGTAGAGTTCTACATCATGTCTCAGGTATTATACTTTAAATATACTGTGTGTTCTTACATGCCAGAAACTCATGCACACTAAAAATTAAAATCTTGCTTAGTATTATTCCCCTGGAAAGAGCTTGATGACTCAAAAATTTTAGAGGATGGAACAAGTGTTTTATGAAAGAGCAATAATAGTACATCTGACAACGAAAATGGTAAAACGGTAGCTTGTTTATGATCGCAATCAATTATCCTTAATTTATATTTTCCAAGCAGTTTATCATAATTATTATATTGAGTGTTGTAAATGTTATACAGATTGAGATTTATTTTTAGAGCGACTCATCTCTAAAGACTGAAAATGAATTAAAATAGTGAATTTTAACGACTGCAAATTTCAAATTTTTTTTTTTTAACAGGAACGCTTCACCCAAGACATGCAGCCTCATTACATATACAGCCCTCGTGAGATGACAAGATGGGTAAGAGGTATCTGTGAGGCTTTAAGGCCTCTAGAGAGTCTAAACCTTGAGGGACTTGTACGTATTTGGGCCCATGAGGCTTTGAGGCTGTTCCAGGATCGATTGATTGAAGATGAAGAGCGACGCTGGACTGATGAGAATGTTGATGCCACAGCTCTTAAACATTTCCCCAATATCAACCGCCAGGAAGCCCTGGGAAGACCAATACTCTACAGCAAGTGGCTGTCCAAAGACTACATGCCTGTTGACAGAGAGGAGCTGAGAGAACACACCAAAGCGAGGCTCAAAGTAAGCAATTGCTTATGTTAATTAAGTAGTTGATTTAACGATGAAATACAAAATAATTCAATATTCTCTAAGCTCTTTTTCTTCTTAGATTCTCTAAGCTCTTTTTATTCTTAGAAATTAATTTTATTATTTTGTGGTCAGCCTCCGAAATTGGCTGATATTTTTGGTTTGTGCTGTGGCGGCCAGAAAAAATGGCAGATAATAAACACGGTTCGATAGCAACTTCCAATCCAATATTTAACAGAAATCAAAGCCACTTCCTTTTATTAATAATTAAATCAACTTCCGGGTCAAGCTGTTTCTTGATAACCTAATTATAAGTACTTTTTAATCGGAATTTTTTATCGCTGTTTTTTTTTTAAAGCTAAAATGGCGGATGCTGTGACCCGGGCCTTCAGTGCGAGAACTAATATAAATATTTTTAAAGCTTTTTAGGAGAGGATTTAAGTGATACTGATGATGATTTTAACATTCCCCATGACATCTCACTTCAGATTCTTCTTTTCGTGAATCTGATACTAGTCTTAGTGATACTGCAGTTGTCCTACTGAGGCTACTGTTAGACTTCGAGCCAGGCTTGGAGGTTGGGCAAGGACTGACTGAATTTTAGTCACAGAAGCTACAGATTATAGATCAGATCTAATAGTTCTATAGTTTTATAGTTATACCAACCCAAATCAGTTCCACAGTTCCTTTTTAAATATTTACTAGTCAATAATAACTATTTTGCCCGAGATACTGTATTTTGTACTTGGTTTTAGCTGTGGTTCCAGTTTCTTACATAAATGACTTAAAATTACTAAAATTGCTTTCAGAGGTTTAATTGTACTCAAAACCTTAGCAAACTATACATTTTCTGAAAAATGAATTAATTGACTATAACATTTAGATTAGTGTTGGAAGTGTATCTGTAAAATTAATGATGTTATGAGCATTTGAAAGCAAGAAATTTTGTCGATTTTTATTTTCTTGAGCATTCCAAGGTCAAGTACACTGAGCAAAAAAAAATTTACGGGGTTGGCAATATAGCCAACTTAATCCCCATCCATTTTCCTTTCTAAAAATATATAATTATTTGAGTTTTGTATCAATATTTCTATGTCATGTAATGCAATTTCAAAAAGCTCTGAAAAGCTCCACACCACAGAATGATGCATGCCACAGTTCGAGGGTTTAAGTTTTCAACTTTTCAGTGAAGAATGTATTGTGTTATGATTAAATTAGTAGTTTACAAAAAAGTAGAAACACCTTCCATTAATATATATGTATGGTTCAACTAGGTGTTCTATGAAGAAGAACTGGATGTTCCATTGGTCCTGTTTGATGAAGTCTTGGATCATGTGCTGAGAATTGACAGAATCTTCAGACAGCCACAAGGTCATCTGCTGCTAATTGGTGTCAGCGGCTCTGGAAAGACAACTCTATCTCGCTTTGTGGCCTGGATGAATGCCCTTAGTGTGGTACAGATAAAAGTTCACAACAAGTACTCAGCAAATGATTTTGATGAAGACCTGCGTTCTGTTCTGAGGAGAGCCGGCTGCAAGGTTGGAACCACTTTAGTTTTGATTAAATCAATGTGTCGTACAGAAAGTTATTAAAATAATATTACTGCTAAGGTTGCACCACTAACTTGACTATCATTTAGACACGTGCATTTGATTTCCACCATTAATATGAATTTTATTTTGTATGGCTTTTCAATTTTATTTTTATTCTTGTATTTTCAAGAACTTTTGCTCCAAATGCTACAGTTTTGAAAAAAATTGAAGAGAATTGTTATAACCATCTCCATGTGCCCCAAACTAAGAGTGTGCTGAAAAATACTAACAAATTTTTGCTTCTTGTCTCAGAGTGAAAAGATTTGTTTCATCATGGATGAATCCAATGTGCTGGACTCAAGCTTCCTGGAGAGGATGAACACGCTGCTTGCCAATGGTGAAGTCCCTGGTCTTTTTGAAGGAGATGAGTACACCACACTGATGACCCAGTGCAAAGAAGGAGCCATCAGAGAGGGACTTATGCTTGACTCAGCTGAAGAGCTGTACAAATGGTTTACATCACAGGTAATTGTGTGCCTATGGCTCCACCTCATAATGTATCACAAGCTTCGCTTTACTAACATCTGTTTACAATATATTAATTGATAATTTTTGTGTGAATTAAAAGACATCAGCTTTTGGGTTAAAATATATCATTTTAAAAAATTTGAAAAATTGCTAATTTATCCCATACACTATTCACAAATTCTGACAGTGATTACATTTGTTAAAAGTTAAGTACTCCACTTAACTATTTAGGCAATTCACTAAACTATTTAGGCAATTCACTAAATTATTTAGGCAATTGAAAATCTGATATTTTAAAAACCAACTATCTTGTGCACAGGTTATAAGAAATCTCCATGTTGTTTTCACCATGAACCCATCATCAGAAGGCCTCAAGGACAGGGCAGCCACATCACCTGCATTGTTCAATAGGTAAATAGATAAAACGGCTAATTAAGTCATGATAATTTATAAGTAAACTTTCTAAGTTCAAAATAAGCCCAAGACACATTTTGATATATGTTAAGCTGATACACAGAACAAAGTCTTCTTTGCAAACAAATTCTCATAATGTTAATGCCAGGCTGTTCACAATCACCTAAACAAACAGAGGTTTTGTATTTTCTTTAAAACTTAATTTGATCGTGTAACCAAGTCTCGGCCTGTTCAATGCCTAGATAATGGTAAGGTTTAGAGTTTTACTCAAGTTTCCTACTTGTTAACATTCTTTCTTTTGCAAGGTGTGTTCTTAACTGGTTTGGAGACTGGTCTAATGGTGCCTTGTTCCAGGTGGGCAAGGAGTTCACAAATAAGATGGACTTGGAGAAAGGATCTGTAAGTTGATTAGTCATTTGTTCTGGCTAAAATTGTTCATACACCATCAAAATGTCCCAGACTGCCTAGATGAAAATTAAGTTAAAGAGTGTTGGTTATGTTTTATGTGAAATAACTCCTGTGTTTTAAGGTGAGCTCAATTATTAAAAATCATTTGTTTTCAGTATACAGCCCCTGACATTTTCCCTGCTGCATATGAAAAATTGAAACCAACACCATCCCACAGGGAGGCAGTCATAGACAGCTTTGTCTATGTTCATCAGTCCTTACACCAAGCAAACAGTAAGGTTGCTCGCAGAAGTGGCCGTGTTATGGCTATCACTCCAAGACACTACCTGGATTTCATCAACCACTTTGTAAGTGATATCTTTCTGAGTATATATATTTTAACTATTCTATCAAATTTTCTTTTCCTAAAAATCTCTTGCATAGTCACATTGGAATAGCTAGAGCGTGTGAAGACATGAGCGGTCTGGAGTACCTAGAGATTTTTAAGCTAGAGGCAGTCCTTGAAGTATCATTATGGCATTAAATAGTTTCAACTGAGCTGTTCCATTTTATAATTTAATTTTATGCATTCATTATATCTTGTCTTTCTTCCAGGCCAAACTGTACAATGAGAAAAGGTCTGACCTTGAAGAACAACAACTTCACTTGAATGTTGGCCTTCAGAAGATCCATGAAACTGTTGAACAAGTTGAAGAGCTGCAAAAATCTTTATCAATTAAAAGAATTGAGCTCGAGGAGAAGAACAATGCTGCTAATGCCAAGCTCAAACAGATGGTCAGTGACAAGGGCAATGCTCCATGCAGATTTCATTTAAAAATTTGAATTGGCAATTCGTTTTTCTATCACTATATTTCTAATAATGTGATTATTCATTGTGATGCTTACCGGCTAGATGAAAATAGGAAACACCTTGAATTTACATGTTTTAATTTATTTACATTGAGATACAACTAATGATATTTACACATGAGTAAAATGACTTTTCATTTATATAAATGATACATTTTTTTAAAAGAAATTTTGTCTATAAAAATTTGTTCAACCCAATAGGATATTTTTTTGAACTGATACAATAATATACTTATATATCCAAGCTATTCTCAATTATCTTACATTTTAAAAAATTTAGGTCAAAGACCAACAAGAGGCTGAACGCAAGAAAGTAACCTCTCAAGAAATTCAACAAGCTTTGAAGGACCAGACCAAAGTCATCTCAGAGAAACAGAGCAGTGTTCGGGCAGATCTAGAGCAGGTGGAACCAGCTGTCATAGAGGCACAAAATGGTAAGTGCTATTCTAGTCTTGAGTTGTTTTAGTGCACACACAGTATAGTTTTAAAAAACAATAAATATATTGATTATATCCTAAGTTAATCAAAAGCTTAATATATTATTTAAATGTAATATAAAAAAATTGTATAAATGCAATTAAAACTATTTTTAAATACCACAATTATGACCTCTGAGAAGTTTTATCAATTTCATTGCTATGTTCAAATCACAGACTATTTATTTCCATGTTTTTATTCACACAATTCATTTTGAGCCTTTCAAAAATCTCCAAAGCTGATCTCCCAACCTTTAAAAGATGTCTCCTTGCTTTCTTAATCCCACCTCCAACCTGAATACCTACGATGAGAAATATTTTTTAAATTGCTTTTGCTTTAAAGCAGGGGTCTCAAACCACCTTCTTGAAGGCATGAGGATTATTTTGATGTTTTACCTGTCACAAAACAAAGTTAGACATTATTAAGCAAACATCTAGTAACCATAAACTTTTTTAATAATGCTACATTATGAGACTTTAAGTGGCTTTGGTTTCATAAAAGTGTACAATATTTTTAGTGTTCAGTTTTCACATATTTAACTTACATATTCAATGTATTGAAACAGCTATGCACAACAGAAGTTAATTTTGAAATCATGATTTGATGAAAATTTAAATGCTTTGCCAAATGAATGTCTTGATCAAAAAGACATTCTTGTTCAGTAAATGTTTGTCTCAAAATAGAAACTTAAAGAACTTTTGAACTCAGTTAATGTCCATGTTAATGTTTTTTTTTTAAACACTCACTTGATCATTCATTCAGTCACTTCTATCTAATTATTTTGTTTGAGACTCCTGCCTTTAAATAGAAAAGTAAAAAAAACAGCTTTAGGGAGATAAGCTTTTTAAAGCTGCATTGTTCCTTCTCATAGAGTACAAAGTAAACGTTGATGTCACTTGAGAAGTGCTTATTTGTTTTACAGCTTTCCATGTGATGCATGTTTCTTTAAATATTTAAATGCAATTCAACTTTATAATTGAAAGGAAAACAAAAATTAATAAAAATCTTTATAAAATAAAATATTATTAGCAATTTAATATTCACTCAGTAACTAATTACAATTCATCTTAACTGCAGACTCCCATGACTCGTCTCATTTTTATTAGTGATTTACCTAATTGTACACCAAACTTCCAAGGTGGTCTCCCCTTAAAGCCTTCACTAAAATTAACACTGAATCACATATAAATTATAATTAGGATTGCATGATTCATTTACTTGTTGGAATTACGTACCTTATTATTTTGCATGCAATTAAAAAAAATTATTTTCAGCTGCAGTATTAATAAATCTCTGATTGATCATGATAGCTTTCCATTGATTGGTTGAAATAATCTTAGCTGTCATCCCATCGCTTAGTGCATTAATAGTAACATTAATATAGAAAAAATGAAAATATATTGAAAAAACCTTTATAAATCTTTGAGTTAAAAAATGTATTTCATCTAATACTGTGCTTCTATGAAGAGAAGTAAAATACAATAACTCTTGTACGATTTGTACACTTGGTGTATAGTGATCTGAGGACCTTGAAACTAAAAAAAATCAGAATTTTTCAAAGCACGTGTTAAATGAAATTTAAAACAAACCCTTGAATTTTAAGTCAGTAAGTGGCCCATCAGATAACATTTTCTAAAGCTTTTTCTGGTGCCAAAAAGGGTTTTTATTTTCATTCGCTTCACCCTGTTCGCTTTTGTCATTTTGTTCATGTTAGCTGTCAAGTCTATCAAGAAGCAGCATTTGGTTGAGGTTCGAACCTTAAACAATCCACCTGGTGCTGTGAAGCTTGCTGTGGAATCCATCTGTGTCTTGCTCGGAGAGTCAGATTTAGACTGGAAGGCCCTCAGAGGCATCATCATGAGAGAAAACTTTATCTCCACCATTGTCAATTTCAAGACTGATGATATTACGTAAGTGAAAAAACCAGGTCAGCGTCGTGGAACGCGCTCCACTTATTTGATAGATTGATGCCAACCAGCAGACGATCCAGCAGAAACCAAATGTTGGCATCACCCCTCACAAGTGTTGGTCATTTTGAAGTGATGATGCGTGTTCATGTGCACACTGTTGAAGTGATCCATGCTCATAATTGTTTTTAAGAGGAGCTTGAAGATGCTTTCTTGCATGTTGGGGCATTGTTTGTAAATAAACTATAAATGTGTGATCATGAGCATCCTAGGTGTGATCTTGGTACAAACACGTAAGTAGTGGGATAAAATGTTGGTGGATTGTTAGCCTTGTTAGCACATCTTTGCAATGAGTATGGTCAGCCGATGACCTGGAACCCAACTATTGGATGTTTCAAACTCGACTCATTTGAATGAGTCGGCATGTTCTCTGTTCATCATTTGCTCATTTAATGTTCATGAGATGCTTCTAATGGAAAACTGTTTTCCTTTCTTTGTTTTCTCATGTTAGTGAATGCATTCATATTTCTGCCTGCAATGTGATCAAGCTAAAGCATGCATGGATCGCCATAAATTAAATGGTGGACCTCTGCGCTTTCATTGTTGAATGGTCCCAGCTAATCGTTTTGTAGAAAAAAATAGCTATACATTGATCACTGCAGAGTTTTCATTAGTTATTAGTTCTTAATATCTTAAAATGCATGATGGATCTAGTAGCATTCCATAATCCTAAGTTGAGTTATAAATTTGTTTATTGTGTGAACTAAGATCTGTTGTGTAGGCTTCTAAAGAGGTATCCTCTAATTCTTTTTTGTTTTACTCCATATTCATCCTGCATTACTTGTATAATAGCATTAAACTCTGATGGGCTTTTCTATGGCTTAAATGAAATGTTGATTCTCATTGCCTGCTGTTGTATGCATCATCTGTATGTCAATTGCTCACAAGTCTCTGGTGGTATGTTTCAATCCTAATCCATTATGAATCCCTTGCTTGCCGCTGTTGGATATGTGTGCCACTCACAGCCGTGAAGGGTATCAAGAAGAAAGACCTAGTGGAGATCAGGTCCATGGGTAACCCACCGCCAGTGGTCAAGCAGGCCTTAGAGGCCATCTGTTTGCTACTGGGCGAGAGTGCCACCGACTGGAAGGTCATTCGCCAGATTATTATCAAGGACAGTTTCATCTCCTGTATTGTAAACATGAAGACTGATGACATTTCGTAAGTTGTTAAAGTCTGTTCTCATTGTAACTTCTGTGTCTTATCAGTAATTGGCCACTGGTAAAGTAACCAAGAAAAGAATACATGCTCTTCAATATTGTTAAAATGTGCAGTCTAAAATCACTCAAATTTAAGTATAACAATACTCATTCAATAAGTTGAGAAGAAAAATAGAAAATGAATATTTTCCTGCATAGGTTAATAGGATAAGAGAACTAGTTGTGTATGACTTTCAGTAACAAATAGATTGGCTAAGGCATGGAAATGTCATTAACAAGGCTTCTCTATATCAATAGTGCATGAAAATCAACAAAATATTTTCTTTTTTTTCTGATTGCTTTTGCATCAATTTCTGTCACTGATTTGAGATTGTTGGAGCAGGGAGGTATAAAATATGAGCAGGGAGGTATAAAATATGAACAGGCCATACTATTGTAAACCCTTTTTATTCTCATACTTATTCTATTTTTTAAAGTTTATATTTCAAAGTATTTAAAAAAATGGGTAAAGAATAATTTGGTCAGACCCAAATGTGTTAATGTTGTTTTTAAGCCTCAAGGCTAAGAGCTGAGTTGTAGTACTTGGTAGTTATTTACTATTTAGAAGAGGAAAAGGTTTTGTCATAAAAATGATAATTCAATTTTCAAAGAAACTGACATCAACCTTTCCATTTTTTTTTTTTATCCGTAATATAAGATAGAAAAGAGTTAATTGCTGGCCCTTGTTTAGATATATGGGTGGAAATTTTTAGACCAGTATTTTCACTGAAAGAGGAGTTGGACTTGAAGGTAAGTTAATATTGTCCCTATTCATGTCATTGAGTCGGATGGCAACTGGTCTCCACAGCCAAGTGAGTGTTGGAAATTCATTAAATTGTTTTGTTTTTGTATTTTTTATAACCTCAGTATTATGGCTTAATCAGTTTCAGACATATAGACATTAATAGTTCACTGCGGGAAATAAAATTTTTTTAGCTTTAATTTTCTGAGTGAGTTTATTTTTCTTCTGAAGAATAGCAACTTGGACCATAGTGCCTAAAGATAAACAATTTCTTGTGTAGGGTTCAAAGGGAAATATTTTTTCAAGTCTTTATGTATTGAAAATAAAATAACACTTACGCCCACCAAGTTCGACTACGTAATTAACTAATCTAAGGTATATTTGAGAGTGAATGAATGAAGATATAAAAGTGCAAATACTACAAGGTTTAAAGTTTTCTTAGCTTTTTCCCCCATGCGCCTACATTTCTGTTATTGAACTTTTTTCAAAACAATCGTTTTTAAAATGTTTAACCCTGGTTTGATTCTCCCTTTTATTTTGAGATTTTGAACTCCCCAACCCTCTTTTTGTTTCCTATTCTTTTTCTGAACTTTGCTGCATGAGACTGATTTCAAGCTTGCAATAAACCTGTTTGCTTCATTGAAACCTCTGGTGGCAACCAAAATTTCAGTGCTTTGATCCAGATCCAATAGTTCACCCAATTTAACCACATAAATCAGCCAGTGGTGTAACAAAGACGTTTGGCTCTGGGAAGGGAACCATCATCCATGGACTGTAGATCCCTCCCATAAAATGTCCTATATAGGGCCCTGACAATGGGGCCTGCTGCTGTCAGTTACACCGCTGGCGTATCAATAGATCAGCACTTTGATTTGATGTACAAACATGCTGTCATGGTCACTCACCAAGTCCGTGCCACTCACAGCTGTACAGGGCATCAAGAAGAAAGATTTGGTAGAAATCAAGTCCATGGGTAACCCCCCTCCAGCGGTCAAGTTAGCCCTTGAGGCTATCTGTTTGCTCCTGGGCGAGAGTGCCACCGACTGGAAGGTCATTCGCCAGATTATTATCAAGGACAGTTTCATCTCCTCTATTGTAAACATGAAGACTGATGACATTTCGTAAGTTAAGACAGATTACCTTACAGAACCCCTTAATCGCTTATAGTTACATCAACAAATTGTAGATTTAAAAAGAAAATTTGGAGATTGATCATTTAAAATAATTATTATATGTGATTGAATGTAATATTCATCTGCAACAAACTGTTGTTTTTTTTCTATTTGAATATCTGGAGCATTGTATCATTACAGCCTGGGTACATTCTTTAGACTGTTCGGAAATCTACCGGATCTTTTTTTTAAATTTTATATGATGAATTTAAGATGAGCTGGTTTCAAAATTTGCTCCCAGTATATAGAAACGAAGAAAAAAACAAAAATTTGGGTTTGGAATGGAGGAGGTGGTGGGGTTATGAATAAGTAAAAATGAAAAAAATTTATGTTGTGGAGTTTTCATAGGTAAATTTAAAACACGGATCTTTAAATTAAATTAAACTTGTTCACACATATGGTACATATGTATATAAATTGCAGACCGGCCTTAAGTACTGAGAGGTTTTTGTGTTGTCCTGATAGTTTTTTTTTTATAAATGTTTTGTTCATGTTGTTTATGCCTATGTCCTGTGGATACAATTGCAATTTAAAAAGGTATGATAATGATATTAGTAGTATTGAAACCACTGACTGATGTCAGAGTGAAATTGTTTTTATTTATTTTTTAAAGTTAAAGAAATCATTTTAGTTATTTATAAATTATTCCATTAAATTTGAATGGTCAAGCAGTTACACAAATCTGTTTATTGGCAGGCAGGCCCTGTTCACACAATACATAACTTGTAACACATAAGAATTTAAAAAATTTAAGGATAATTTAAATTAACGCTTGTCCTTAAGGATGAGAATGTGTTTTTACTGAAAGTCTTATTTGTTTGTTTCTATTTTAGTGATGAGATCCGCCAGAAGATGAAGAGCAAATACATGAACAACCCAGAGTACAACTATGAGAAGGTCAACAGGGCCAGTTTGGCCTGTGGTCCCATGGTTAAGTGGGCTATTGCTCAGGTATGGTTAGAATTTTTCTATTCAATGTTAGTTTGTCTCTTTCTTCCCCCCCTATGGCTTGTACTACTAGTTAATAGGATTAGTATGACAGAGGCATACACTTATCCTAGTGACACTAAAATTTGTGTAAATGTGTTTTGTACTAATGTCATGATTATGTCTCTTTTGATAATATTTTTATGTACAGCACGGTGAGCCCAGCCCTAGGCTGGGGTACCGCGCTATAAAAGACCACTTATTATTATTATTATTAATGACATGCAATTGTATTAATTTCCATAATTAAGAACTTTTTTTTTTTTAGTAATCTAAAAAAAAGTATCATACATATTCTGAACTGAGACTTACTTTGAAAATGGTGTGTGGTCTCTAGATTCAATATGCTGACATGTTAAAGAGAATTGAACCATTGAGGAATGAACTGACTGAGCTGGAGAACCAAGCGGAGGAGAACAGACTTAAAGCAGAAGAAGTGAACAAGCTGATTGCTGAGTTAGAAAGGAGCATTGCCAAATACAAGGAGGAGTATGCTGTCCTCATCAGCCAGGCCCAGGCTATCAAGGCTGATTTGGCCTCAGTAGAGGCCAAGGTAAGACACAGAAGATAGACCAAAAATACTTCATCTATACTTTCTAGATACACAATTATTTGTTTCTTTGTCTACAAAAGATAAAAGTGCAGAGAAAATATTGCCTATTTTTTTGTTTCAAAGAAAGATTTGCAGCAACTGATTAAACGTCTTAATACCAGGTTTAAAAAATTTGCTTTGAATAATATACAAGGTTTTAGAATTGGCAATGGTTTAGTGATGTTTTAGTTTTTTGAACAGCAAGCTAATACACACAAAAAGTGGTCATATTCACTTTCAAATGAGTTGGAGTAGATTAACAAGTTAAGAAGTTATCATTATTTATTAATGAAATGTTAAGTGAATTCTTGTCATGTGCCAAAGGTTGAAAGGAGTGTTGCCCTGTTGAACAGCCTGGCCAGTGAGAAGCAGAGGTGGGAACTTGGCAGTGAGACATTCAAGAACCAGATGGCCACAATCATTGGTGATGTTCTTTTGTCCTCTGCCTTCATGGCTTATGGAGGTCAGTATATCAAAATTCTTATTTTAAACAATCAATTCATTGACACACTCTGCTCATTTATTAAATTGGAACTGATCAAGTGAATTTCGATTGAACAGACAAGCATTTGCTTTGATTGAAGAGACAAGTATTTGCCATCTTAAGAATTGGCTTCCCAAAATTATTTCATTTGCTAATTTTTCCACTAAAATTATTTCAGTCCTATTCATTTATAAAGTTGCTTACAATCTGTTTTCAAAGAATGTTAAAAAAACTGTTGGATTTTGTCAAAATGTGTTGTATGCAGTGACAATATAATTTGCCTCATTGGTTGATTTTAATTTAGTATTTTTCAAAAATGCTGCTTTACCATGTCTTTGTCAAAATATCATGGATTAACCACAAACATGAATTCAATGGTTAGATACCTGAACATGTCACCAAGTGCTGTTTGTGTTTCAGGCTACTTTGACCAACTCATGAGACATACCTTATTCTCCAATTGGTGTGACCACCTTCAAACAGCACATATTCAATTTAGGAATGACCTTGCAAAAACAGAGGTATGAGGATTGCTTTGTACTGTAGCTTGCTTTGCAACCCTGGCTATATACACACAAAAATATTTAAAAGCTATTATAATGCTTTCCTGTCATGCCTCAGCTCTTTTCATAAACTATACAATTTGTCTTTTTACAACTTTCATTTAAGAAACTATTGGTTTTTTATAAAAAGTTAATTTAAAAAAGTAAGCATAATTCAAAAGTTTATAAATATGAGATCTATTTAAATAGACAGCTTTGAGATATGCAACTATGCATGTACATCAATAGGACTCGGGTCAGGTTTGAATCAATGTTTCATTCCAAAATTCTAACCCACATGATATTAAACTAATTTTTTTAAATTTTAATTATAATACTTATTAAAGGGTAGGTAAAAACTTTTCTGCCGATTAAAGAGATAGCTTTTATTGAAACAGCTGAGCTATCATTCAATGTAATCAACTTGCTGCTAGTTTGCAAGCAATTATCAATCCCAAATATTTTATGGAAACATCCTTAAATGCCTGTTATGTTGTTTTTTTTTGTTATTCATACTTGAATTTGCAGTGGTTCTCAACCTTTCTAATGCCGCGACCCTTTAACAGAGTTCCTCATGTTGTGGTCACACCCAATCACAAAATTGTTTTCATTGCCACTTCATAACTGAAGAGTATATGTGTTTTCCGATGGTCTTAGGCGACCCCTGTGAAAGGGTCGTTCGACCCCCAAAGGGCTCACAGGTTGAGAACCGCTGCCCTAATGCATGGTGTTTTGAGTTTATAACTAATTTTACCCTAAGGTACAACTATAGAATGTTTAGAAGTGTTGTGCTTGCCTTGCTCATTATATGGACAGACTTACCACTAGCATGTTTAAGTTCAGTCATGACTAGCTTTTAGACTGTCCTAAATTAACCGGCTGTCGCTTGTACCCACCCTATCCCAAATCTTGAATGGTGTGGATTATGTGATTGCCAACACTAATCTAACACCCTCACTGTCACTCACTCATTCTCAACTTTCTGCGTTTGCCCTTCTCTAATATACACTGCTGTTCATAATATATGTTACAACTTGTGAACCAGCAGGATCCATCAGCTAAAGGAATTGACAACTGAATATTTAAACAGATGTTAAGTCACCAAAGAAAGCTCTAGTATCAAAGATATAATATGCATATATCTAGTTTTATATGCTTACAGTGTTACGGTTTTAAAAAATTTAAGTCACATGAACTGCTATAGTTGTTGATGTCATTGTTAGAGAAAAAGTATACTATCATCTCTAAAAAAAAATATAAATCTGTAAAATAACAAGGCAAACGCTAATGTTACTTAGACTAGAGTGATTTCTCCTGATAATTTCCTATCAAATTTTTATTAACCATGGTTTTATGGTAGAATATAAATGATCAGTTTCAGAATTTTTAACATTTACTTAAAGTAAGAGTTTAAATTTTATCAGCATCTTTAATGATCCCTGGCGTTACTTTGGCGTTTTAAATTTTATAATTTTTAAATTACCTTTAGTAAATGCTGATCACAAACATATTTAAATTCTAAAATTTAACTAATTATCTGCAGTACCTGTCCAATGCTGATGAGAGGTTGAAATGGCAGGCGAATGCTCTGCCTACAGATGAACTGTGCACTGAGAATGCCATCATGTTGAAGAGATTCAATAGATACCCCCTCATCATAGACCCCTCTGGACAAGCCACGGAGTTCATTATGAATGAGTTCAGAGACAAGAAGATAACAAAGACAAGGTAGTCATGGAGTTCATGTTTGATTGCCAACAATGTATATAATTCAAAATACTTATAAATGTTGACAATACAGAAAACAATACACGTTTTCAGTAAAGTACTTAAAATATTTATTAATATATTGAATTTCAAATATGATTTTATGTATCTATCACCCCGATGACAAGCCGCCATCTCTAGCATGTGAAAGCCATTACATGTTTAGTTTTTTGCTTGTCACACATAATTTGGCCAGTGCAAAGTCCAAAGTTGTTCAAATCATACAGCTGGGGAATTGCTATGCCAACATTGGATTTAACTATCTTGATTTGCTAGCTAATCACTACTCATACAAATTCAGTTATCTTTTACAAATGTTACTGTATTTAAATATTCTCAACAACAGATACCATGTTTTTCCTCTCAAATTAAACAATCTCAACTTTTGTTACACAATTGTTCTACATTTTTCTCTCAGCTTTTTGGATGATGCATTCCGTAAGAATCTGGAAAGTGCCCTTCGATTTGGTAACCCATTGTTAGTGCAGGTAAAATGTGTTCAATATATTTATGAAAAAGTAAGTTTGATCACACAAAAACATACTTAAACATTTTTTTAAAAACTTGTAATTAAAGAAAAGGATGTAATATAATCTTATGGCTTGTTTTTGTTTTGTTTGTTGACCTCAGGATGTTGAGAACTATGACCCTATCCTGAACCCTGTGCTGAACAGGGAGCTGCGCAGAACCGGTGGTCGTGTTCTCATCTCACTTGGTGATCAGGACATTGACTTGTCCCCATCATTCACAATCTTCTTAACCACCAGGGATCCTAATGTAAGTTTTCTTGTTAGATACATTTCCAGACCTGTTTACTCTTACGATTTTGGCGTACAATGTACGATTTTTAGGTGTATAGATTGTATATACTGTTTATTTTTTACGATAAATATAACTTATTGAACGATTTTGTGATGATAATCTACGATTTTAAGAGTTTGAGGTTAAACAGGTCTGCATTTCTTCTCGTAACGCATTAGCTGCTGGGAAACAGGTGCAAATAAATAACCCCGTAAACATATTCTCTGTAGTTCAAGAACTATGAAAAATGATTATAGAGCATATATTTTTTAAAAAGTAAAATTCCACCAGCAATAATTTTTATATTTCAAATCTATTAGGTGGAATTTGCACCAGATCTCTGCTCTCGTGTCACATTTGTCAATTTTACTGTCACACGAAGCAGTTTACAGAGTCAATGTCTTAACCAGGTAAAACTAATTTTTTTTTTTTTTTTTTTTTTGCTTCTTGTTTTTTTTACAAATAATTTATACATTTCATTTTTTTGTTCATTTTAGCAAATTTAATAATTAATCATAAAGCTTTTCCTGATTTAAAAATTTTAAATTTTATTAATTTATTTTTTTTTTTTTTTTTTTTTTGCTTCTTGTGTTTCTTACAAATAATTCATACATGTCATTTATTGGTTCATTTTAGCAAATTTAATAATTGATCATAAAGCTTTTCCTGATATAAACATGTTAAATTTGATTAATTTATAAAACAAAATTTTGAAACACAGGTTCTAAAAGCCGAACGACCTGATGTTGATGAAAAGAGGTCAGATCTTCTGAAACTTCAAGGTAACTTATTTTCTCACCACCTTGTTTAATAATTTTAAACAATGATTGTAAGAAATTGTGATTATTTTTAATTACTGATAAAAACAATACACTAGGACAAAATAAAGTTAAAGATTGAAGTTGTTTATTCTAGGGCCTGCACAATGAAAAAACAATAATATTTAGGAAAAATATAATAATATGTCATGTACTTACTTGATAAATTTAAGGTGAGTTCCAACTGCGTCTCAGACAACTGGAGAAATCATTGCTGCAAGCTTTGAATGATGTCAAGGGTAAAATCCTGGATGATGACAGGTGTGTTTCAATAGTTTTGGTTTCATTCTATTTTAATAATCTATATGCCTTAAGCCTAGTCCCACCATTATGGTCTGAAATTTACACAAATAAATGTCATGGTATTCTATAATTTAAAGTTGTCTAGTAATGCAGTTTAAAAGATTTTCCATGTGATAGTCTTTTTGGAGTCTTATGTTATGGGTTAAATCGTATCAAAATGAATAGCAATATTTATGCAGCATTCTGAGCCACCTGGAGACACTCAAAACTGAGGCTGCTGAAGTTGCTAAGAAAGTAGAAGAGACAGATGTTGTGATGGCTGAGGTGGAGACTGTGTCTCAACAATATGAATCCCTGGCCATGAGCTGCTCTAGCATTTACTTCACACTTGATGCACTTCAACAGGTGAGCAATATCCTGACAGCACATGAACAATCTGGACATCTTGGGTGTGGTGGCTTTTAAAAATTATTGAAAAGACAGAACATCACACATTGGTTTCTAAATATATAATAAATAATCTATCACAGAGATTAGCTTAAGATTAAATTTTGTAGTTGTTACTGTACTGTAAGTTAAATTTTTATTGAAAATGTCTTGTTTCAGGTCCACTTCCTGTATCAGTACTCCCTGCAGTTCTTCTTGGAGATCTTCCATGCAACAACCAGCAATAACCCTCACTTGGCCCTAATGAATGTTCACTCAGCAAGACTTTCAAGGATCACCACAGACTTGTTCTTGGTACGTGAAAAACAATCATGAACATAAATCCTTTGATGATCTTCAAAGTAATCTCTCATCAGTATGTTTATAATTTAAAACAACAATTATTTTTATTGAAAGAAATATAAACCTAATTCTGTTTCAATACAGATAAACTGCATGTAGTTGTTAAGAAGCACCATTTGATAGTTCATGTTTATTATTTTTTTATTGAAGTTATTAACAAATTTCATAACCCACTTCTAGGAAACCTACAGTCGTGTTGGAAGGGGTATGCTTCACCAGGACAGGATCACATTTGCCATTCAGCTATGTAGAATTCATCTCAACGGTCAAGCCAAGTAAGAATTCAAATTATCTTAAACTTTTTTATCATTCAAAATATTTCATTTTTAACCACTCATTTATTAAAATTAGTGGATATTTATAAAATAGAATGTCATTAAAGTCAATCAACTTGAAAAATAAATTTTCAAAACTTCAGTGAAGGAACGTATGAGACGGAGTTTGAGCATTTTATGCGCAGTCAGGAGGGCCTGCTAACAGAGAAGCCTACATCATCCATTCCTGGTCTGACCAACCAACAGGTAAAACAGTGTAACACTAAGTTTAGACTGTAGATTTGGGTAACTGTAAAATTTGATTTTAACCAAAGCAACAATTTTCCATCTCATCTAATTGAACATTTTTAGTATCTCTATTAAGCAAATTTATTTAATCATATAGGTTGAATTGGAGATGAAATTAAATTAATTTTTAACTGATTGCCTGTAAGAACTTCTTATTTTCGTGTCTATTTTAGCATGCTGCCTTGGTGCGTTTGAGCAAGTTGCCATCTTTCAGAAATGCTATTAGCGAAGTGACGGGCAACCCTGTAAGTAGCAAAAACATTACTGTTGTCAATTTAATTACCAAATAGCTTCAAATAATAAACATTTGGTTAAAAGTTGAATTTTACTCTCAAATGCAAGTTTTGAAAAACAGCTCCTACAACTAAGGGGATAAAAATAACATCTTTTTTTTATAATAAGGAAATTTATAAATAAATATGTATGCATAATAATTCTTACACATTGTTAGTATAAGAATACTCTAAACATAAATAGAATTTAGCAAAATAAGGACTGCAATAATAATAAGTCAATATCTTTTTTTTTTTTCATGATTAAACAAATAATAATTTGAGAACATGATTGATTGGCATAGCATAATTTGATTGTCTTAGCATAATTTGAGAACATGATTAATTGGCATAGCTGGTTTTCCCACAGGTTTTCCAATCGTGGCTTGAAAGTTCCAACCCAGAACAAGACGTACCTCAGTTGTGGGTGGAGGATAAACCATTATGTAAGTGCTATTCTTTACATCTTTTAAGTAATAGGCTAATCCGTTTGTTTTTAGCTGTCAGACATTTGTTACATATGTAACTATGTTCCTAAATATTGTTATAAAGGGTTGTCCTTTTCTTTAAAAGGAATTTTCTAATTTTTTTAAAAAGGAATCGTCTTATTCATCTGAGAACCCTCGTACATTAAAATGAACACACTTGGGATTAAATTTGCATTTATTTGATTAAAATATGTAACTTTTAGCTCCCATTGGAAAATCAGTTCAAGGCTTGTTAGTGATCCATGCTCTGAGACCTGATCGTTTGACTGCCATGGCCAGGATTTTTGTTGAGAAAGTGCTTGGCTCAGAGTTTGTCCATGTCACAGATAAGGAACTGAACCTGGGTTCTATCTGTGAAAATGAAGTAAGTACTCGTAAAATAGGCCTTATCTTTCTGGTTATAAAAATATTGGACACAAACAGGTACTATAGCTAGCTACATCCATTCCGATTGGTTAATGAAAAAAATAATAAAAAATTTCAACTTATATAAAGAGGAACAAAAATAGGGACATTTATGAAGTTGAAAATTTCTATATTCTGATATAAAGTTTAACTAGTTTTAACAAATCTTGTGTTTTGGGTTGTTTTTTTTATTAATCTTGCTGCCTCTATTCTTAAAAAGTGAAATAGGGTTTTATATCATATTTAAGTATTATTTGTTTCCCAGTATTTCATTGTCTAAAATAATCCAACCACCAACAAACAAATATGTTGTTGTTTTCTCTCAAAGTTGAGTTGAAAAAGTTTATTATTTTTTGTAGTAATTTTTTTTCTCTTTTAAAATTGCAAAAGCCATACTTCAAAATAACACATTTTTATCATTATTTAGCAAATTATTTCATTATTTATAATCAAAGTATTCTAAGACATTTTAAAGAATTAATTTTTAAAAATTGAATTGCTTGCAATTTTTATAGGATTAAAATAATAAAATTGTTCACATATTTGATTTGATTCCTTTTCTCATCAGTAATCTAGCCCCAGTATTTGAGTGCAATAACTTTTACTGCTAAGCCACTTGAGTTCAGGAATGTTTTATTACACCTCATAGTAATTTTTAGAGCTTGTTAATTTTAATACTCAAAGAGGCCCATCTCACAGACTGCTCAACGTGTACACTTTTCTTGTCTCTTGTGTAGATTAAAGGAGCGACTCCAATTCTGATGTGCTCTGTACCAGGGTATGATGCCAGCGCTAGAGTGGATGATTTGGCTGCTGAGCTCAACAAGCCCATTACATCTATTGCCATTGGTAGGCTGCATAATTATTGACTGCATTTTCTAGACTCGTCTTAAAGTTTTTAAAATAATTAAGTTTGTATCATTAGATAGTTATTTCTTCTCTTTGTTTTAGGACTTTCATCCAACTTAATCATAAATATAACAGTCTTTGTAATGTTTTAGTTAAATAAATAGTAAACCAGTTCATTCTCATGTAATATACATTACTTGAAGATGGTATTTTGGTTGATATAGCTGCTATTTTCAAAACCCAGGATCTGCTGAGGGTTTCACACAGGCTGATAAAGTAATCAACTCTTCAAGCAAGTCTGGACGTTGGGTCATGCTGAAGAATGTCCACCTGGCTCCACAATGGCTAATCCAGTTGGAAAAGAAACTCCATAGCTTACAAGTTCACCCCAGCTTCAGGCTCTTCCTGACAATGGAGATCAATCCAAAAGTAAAGAAAAGACAAAGTGGATCTTTTTATTGAGCAGTTGATTTATGAAAATTTATGGACTTATTCTTTTATCTTCATTATTTTTGTTCTCCGTTGACTGCAGTCTTTACAAAACTCCATATCAGCTCATTTCGCTTAATTTTTTTTTTTTTTACTGCAGCTCCCAACCAACCTTTTGAGAGCTGGTCGCATCTTTGTATTTGAACCTCCCCCTGGTGTCCCTGCCAATCTGATGAGGACATTTAGCACAGTTCCCACAGCTCGAATGTGTCGGGTATGGTGTGAAATAATTTGCATTCTTGAATGACAAAGTAGAAATATCTCAAATAACAAATAATCTTTATTTACAAGTAGTGGTATTGTTTTTTTTAAAATATTTTTTTAGGCATCGGGAGTGTGACATTAGTTGTGAGAACAATTCATAAACTAACACATTTTATTTTAAGATTATTTTTTTTTACTTCTTCAATACTTTGCTGTATTTTAATGTTAGTGTAAGGTAATTGTGAATGTTATTTATTTATTTATTTTTTTCAAAACTAGGAACCCAATGAAAGAGCCAGACTTTATTTCCTCCTGGCCTGGCTACATGCCATCCTCCAGGAACGTATGAGATACACACCTTTGGGCTGGTCCAAGAAATATGAGTTCACAGAGTCAGATCTGCGTGTGGCTTGTGACATGCTTGATGTCTGGATAGACTCTGTTGCCATGGTCAGTATTGTAATACCATCAATGGAGTGGCATTGGCAATTTAAATTTGATTAATGTTTTTAAAAAGAAGAAAAAAGTTCCTAATGATTTCATGACCTTCACAGCAAATACTTTTAGCAGCTGGGTAAAAATATTATACTGTTGTAATGGATTGTGCATTAGTTTTATTACATACTATCTTACATAGGGCCGCACTAATTTGCCACCTGAAAAAGTTCCTTGGGATGCCATCAGAACTCTCCTATCACAATGTATCTATGGTGGAAAGATTGACAATGAGTTTGATCAGGTGAACAATTTTGATAAATCATTTAAGAGCAGGAAATGAAATTTTGGGGCTTTCCATAAATATGCCACTGTTTGCTCTCTAAATTTCTTACAGATATTTGCAAAAGTCAGTTGACTGTACTTTTTTTTGTATTGTAAATAAATCTGAAACAAAGAGATATATATATGTTAAAATTAAATCTAAATATTGGTTTTACAAGTTTCAGTTCTTATAATAACTAATCTTTTTTTTTTTTTTTTCAGCGCTTATTAAACACATTTGTCAACAAATTGTTTTCACCTAAGAGCTTTGAAGGAGACTTTGTTCTGGTTCATGACATTGATGGCATTAAAGGAAAACACATTCTCATGCCTGATGGTGTTAGGTATTTGTGGACATCAATGGTTGTGCTGAATGTTATTGAGTTATTTAAGGATGTTCCAGTTTAATTTCGTTGCAATATTCCAAATTATTCATTCTTTATTACTTCCTTACAGACGTGAGCAGTTTGTTCAATTTGTTGACAATATGGAGGGTTCCCAAACTCCTTCATGGCTGGGGCTACCTAACAATGCTGAAAAGGTTCTTCTGACAACATTAGGCAAGTTGTTTTTTTTCAATGAGTGTTTATAACTTAACTCAGTTTTACAGTGTTTGCAATTATTCTAGCTATTTGATTTTGTGGGTTTTAGTTCTCCTTTAGTTTTTTCTACAGGCTTTGCATGTCACTTGAAATGTAATTACAATGATTTCTTTTGTTGGGGGATTGCATAATTGTGTTGTGAGTGTAATTCAAATAATTTACCTTTTTCAGGAAGCAGCATGATTGCCAGCCTCCTGAGAATGCAATTGCTGGAAGAGGAAATAGTTACCTCCCCTGATGAGAGCAAGCGTATGGCTGATGGTCGCCCAGGCTGGATGAGAACTCTGCACACATCAGTCACTGCTTGGCTGGAGCTGGTACCTAAGGTAAAATTCTTTGCACATTTTTTAAATTCTGTGCTGTCATGTTTGTACAAAATTGAGTCTAAAACATTAAATATGAATTTTGTTCTTTGTGTAATTCTCTAATTTCCTACTAATTCCTAATTAGAGTAGTTTTCATTCTTGATTGTGTTGAGCAGTAGAGAATGGAATGCTCACAGATACCTTAAAATTAGGAATGATATTTCCAAGCACCCAAATGAGTTGCTCTGTGTATTTTTGGGGCACACATTTTGAGTATGACACATTTGCTTTCTCATATTATAACAAATTTGATCTCTAATAAAGCTAATTTGATGATTGACTGATTTATCTAGGAAAGTACAGCAGAGGTAAAGTTGTTATCCTTTGACTTATGAGTTGATCCCACAATCCTAATTGGCTTGTTCAAAGATTTTTTTTTTAATTATAGAAACATGGTTGGGAAAATAAGAAAGGTGTTTTAACATGTTCAGTAGATTTCAATTTTATTGTATTTTTATTTTTTTATAGGGGGCTATCTTGTACTAACAAAAAACTGTTTTTGAACCTAATATTAATTTAATGTTGGGAACAGATTTGTTTTTTTTAATTTACAACCTTTTTATTTATTTGTTTCCTTCTCATTGGTTTTCTGCCTAAAATACATGTTTTTCTAAGCATTCGAGAGTCAGTTTGGACCAAATATTTTTCTGGAAAATGAAGTTAATGTACGTCATATGAACACATTATTTTTATGAATAGCACATGTTTAAGACTACTCCATAGTACTATTCCAAATCCCAGTATTTGCAGTTCACTGTGTGCTTTTTAATCATCCAAATGTTGGCTATTTTGTTTTGAAAGGGCAAATATTGTTTAATTCAATGTTATTTCCTGTTGCATTGTAATACTTAAGTTTTTTTCCCATATTATTTAAAAAAAATTTTTTTTAAAGGCACCAATTTATATAGAGCAGAATACCTGTTATAGTTTAAGTCATGTTAGAGGTGGTATTAAATATAAAATATATATATGAAAATGATAATAACTTCAATGCTTTTACTCCCTTGATTTACATAAGTGAACTACTAGTATTAGTATCAAGACTTTAGTAGAATTATGAGAGATTGTGAATGTTCAGCTTTATGTTTGTTTAGTTCTGACATAGTTCTGTTGAGACTGCCAGAGATCTTTACTAGGTACCAACAGTTCTGTTGAGACTGCCAGAGATCTTTACAAGGTACCAACAGTTCTGTTGAGACTGCCAGAGATCTTTACAAGGTACCAACAGTTCTGTTGAGACTGCCAGAGATCTTTACAAGGGTACCAACAGTTCTGTTGAGACTGCCAGAGATCTTTACAAGGGTACCAACAGTTCTGTTGAGACTGCCAGAGATCTTTACAAGGTACCAACAGTTCTGTTGAGACTGCCAGAGATCTTTACAAGGGTACCAACAGTTCTGTTGAGACTGCCAGAGATCTTTACAAGGTACCAACAGTTCTGTTGGTCCAAAAGAGATCATTACAATGTAGCAACAGTTCTGCTGAGTCTAAAAGAGATCATTGCAAGGTGGCAATGCAGTTGACATTATTTTGCTCTTACCGCTTCATTAGAAACTAAAAAATTTTACTTTGACTTTACTTGAGACAACATGGATTTTTTTACGACTTTACTACAATTGGTTTTATTAAATGTAAAAATACATAGACTTATAATTTTTTTAATTCAAATGCCTTATTTATATAACCTGTTTTATTGACATACAGTGTTCCTTGAAAAAAGGAACACACAAAGCATTTAATTTAATTCATTCCTGCCTTTAGTCAGTGCTATCCAAATGCCCTCCTGCTGCTTACCCTTTTCTTTTACTGAAGTTTGCTCATCCAGGGCACCAAACTCCCATTTATTACAGACTGTTACAGTCAATGGATATTCTTACTAGAATGGCACTCTCCTTCATGATGAAATGATGCTCATGTTTTTATCTTCTTTTGTTATTAAGTTGCAAGAATGTGAAAAAATTCATAAATATTTCCAAGTTCTTAAAAAGTTGTTATTAGCAAGGGAGAGGGTGAAAATCATGTAGAATCTTTTGAAATTTATGCAGAGAGTAAAGATGATGACCCTGTGATTGAAGATAACTCTGAATGACTTTAAAAAATTAGTAATATTCCATTAGTATGGAAGGAAGTGATATTAAGAAATATGCCGATGTTCACTTACAGATATTATCAAATTTTTTCTTTACAGAGGCATATTTTTATTGTGATAATTTAATTTCTTTCATTTTTATACAAGGTAAAAAAGAAGCCATAATTATTCATTGAAATTTTAGTTCTTTTTCTATTCTACATTTCCAAATGGAGCTATCGTTCTTTGGTTAGGAAAACGGGATGGTTTACGTCAAAATTGATCATGCATGAGAGGGTTAAATATCACTTTTGATGTCCAAAAAATCATAGTATTCAATGTGTAAATGTTCAGAGGACAGGAGCTTTAGAGCTATTTAATATTTTGCAGGCACTTGGGGGCATGAAGAGGACAGTAGAGAACATCAAAGATCCATTGTTCCGTTTCTTTGAACGGGAAGTGAATGCTGGCTCTAAACTGCTGTTGGATGTCCGCAGGGATCTGCAGGACATGATTAAAGTTTGTGATGGTGAAAAGAAACCTACCAATCACCATCGCTCAATGATGGCTGACTTGGTCAAAGGTATCTGATGAGTTTCATTTTAAAGGCACATAACGTGTGCATCATTCAAAGATATTTTTAACTCTATGTTAAAACAAGTTCAATACTTATGACAATTTCAATACTTATGAGAGTCAGCTGGACGTTCCATTATAGAAATGGGAGGGATAGATGAGTTGAATGAACAGGGGTTGATATTTGACCATCACATTTATTTGATGATTCTACTTGTTTCATGTGTTGTCTCTGTTGCAGGTATCATTCCATCGTCTTGGAGACTGTACACTGTGCCAGCTGGCCTGACAGTGATTCAGTGGATTACAGACTTCAGCATGCGTATCAAACAGCTGCAAACCATAGCACACGCTACACAAGGAGGAGCTAGAGAGCTTAAGGTTAAACTTGACACATAGTTGGAAATACATGTTTGACATTGTGGAGAAAATAGGAATGTGTCATATCGAATGAGTGGGGGGAGGGGGGGGGGCTGGTCTAGGAGTAAATGTCTTGCCGAACGGTTTGGGATAGGTAATAGATATTTGAATTCAGATTTTTGAGCTATGTTAACATACCTCATTTGAAAATCTTTAGAACCTACAAGTGTGGCTGGGAGGACTCTTCATTCCTGAAGCTTACATTACAGCAACTCGTCAGTTTGTGGCCCAGGCAAATCATTGGTCATTGGAGGAGCTGTACTTAGATGTGAGTGTTTGACCAGCATTCATGGAGCTTTAATTAAATATTTTTAAAATCTACTATTTTTAAGGAATCTTACTTAGATGTGAGCATACGACTAACATGTGGGGAGCTTAAATTTGGTACCGTGTATTAACCAATCTGCTGTTTTGCTGAATAAATATATCTTTTATTGCAATAGAATTAATTATCAGTCAGTCCTGCTTAACTATTTGATTGTGTTCAAATGTTCCAGGTTCATGTGCAATCAGCTAAAGCTGCAACTTTGGATGACTGTAGTTTCTCAGTGACGGGTAAGATCCATCACACTGAGCCATAATCCATTGGTGTCTTTGTTTTAATATTCTCTTGAACGTACTTAGACTAAAATCTCTTGTTTTAAATGTATAAATAAAGAGGTTGAGATTGTGATCCTTATGACATTTTTTTATTTACAATAAGAACAACATACAAGCCAATTGAAAAGCATCAATGCAGTTAGATGTACAAATAAACACAAATTTAGCTTCTGTTGTAAACAAAAATTCAAACTCATGATATTGCAGGTTTGAAACTGCAGGGAGCCCTGTGTAAAGACAACAAACTTGTGCTGTCTACAACCATCTCCACTGAGCTGCCACTCACCATCCTACGCTGGATCAGGTAAAGAAACCTCTTCACATTGGCAACAATCTGCTTGTCAAATCGAGTTTTTATTTATATTTTTATATATTATAAAATTTTATATGTGAGGAATTAGCACCTTGTAGGCTGTCATTAACTACTTCACTTTAGCCAAGCAAACCTGTTGACTTTCCAAGTAAAGCTACTCTATTTCTGCACTTCACATGAATTTGAGTCCTGTTGTTGTCCTGGGAATGGAGTCCTGTTGCTGCCCAGTGAATTAAGTCCCATTGTTTGTTTGTCCTCAGACTTGACAAAGGTGCTGATCCTTCCATTGGAAAGGTAACTCTGCCTGTGTACCTGAATGCCACCAGAAGTCAGCTCCTGCTCACCTTGGACTTTGCCGTGACCGAAGACCCTGCTGGTAAAGATCACAGCTTCTACGAGAGGGGTGTGGCTATCATCTCTTCTGACCTCAGTTAAACAACTGACTGACTGGAACAGTGATTATCTTTAGTCTCAGCTTCTGATTTTTGTCCTGAACCAAAAAATTAGCTTAAAATTCTCTATAACTGAAGCGATTGAATTTTTATTTGATCCTATTCATTTATATAACTGTCGGTAAATGCATTTCTAGAACTCATTTAATCATCTTTTGAAATCAAAGTTCTGAAACAAATTGTTTACCATTTAAATAAAATTATTCACAAAATTCCATCTGGGGTAAAAAAAACAACTAATAAATTGCACAGGAATGCATCAATTATAATTATCATTTTTATATGCTAGTTTATCGTTGTATTAATTTTTTTACTTTGAAGACCTGCTTTTGAAGGATTATTTGATATGTAATACTTTTAGTGATTGCATTTTTATTGTTTCTATTCATTTGTAAAACTCGTAAATGCATTTTGACAATTCTTTAAACGAATCATTTTAAATCAAAGTTCTCAATAACTGTTAAAGAATTTATCTTTTAAACGTTATTATTTTCAAAGTAATGCCATCTTTTGGACAAAAAGAATAACACGGGGCACAGGAATGTGTCAATCATAGCTTATCATTGTATTTGATTTTTTTTTTTTTTTAAATTTAAGGAACTGCTTTTGAAAGATTATTTGAGATTTAATGCTTTAGTACAGTGAATAGTTTTATGATGTTTATTCTGTTTCTTATATATTTATTATCTCTTTATGGGAGACCTTTTTCATACATTCTGTTTGGAAAAGTAAATAGATATTTGTGATAAATGTAATATATGTATCTCTTTAGTGATCAATATGTGTTTAGTAACTCTGCTTAAGAATTTAATTTAAAAACATCTGGCTGTTTTCTATTGTTATTTTTTCATTACTTCTTGAATTTTGATAGTGTTTATTGTGTCCGTAATGATCATTAAAACTTCCTAATAGCAAAATAAGAATCTCTTTGATGTATTCTGATTTCCCCACAGACATCTTTGCTAGAATATGATGGTGAAGGCGTCACTGAGATGTCAGTTTGTCATTTGATATATTTGTAGGCAGTTCCCTGGTGCCTCTGGTGTTGTATACATTAAAAGCCTGTGCCATGTAGCCAGGCCTGAAGTCCAGCACCTGCGGGTAGTGCATGTAGTTTGATGGTGAAACGGACCATGACACCGATGGGATGGTCAGCGGCTGGAAGGGTTTCTGTGCAAGAGGGGCTTGTTGGTACTGGTCGCCTCCCTTGTCACGGCGTTCTCGAGCTCTGCGATTTTGGAACCATATTTTCACCTGAAATGATAAGTTGGTGATGCTTATGTTCTTGTATCATGGGACACACTTTTAGTGGCATGGATTAATCTTAAGATAAGCTAGTGGTGCTCTTAAATAATGGTGGCATATCATTAAACGTGGGTATGGTAATTGTGGCATTTAAGATGTCCACATGGGAGGAGGGTGGCATGGTAATGGTGGCATTAATAATGGTAATGGTGGCATATCATTTAACATTTCCACATGGGAGGGGTGGTATGGTAGTGGTGGCATATCATTTAACATTCCACATGGGAGGGGTGGTATGGTAATGGTAGCATATAATTCAACATTTCCACATGGGAGGGGTGGTATGGTAATGGTGGCATATCATTTAACATTTCCACATGGGAGGGGTGGTATGGTAATGGGGGCATATCATTCAACATTTCCACATGGGAGGGGTGGTATGGTAATGGTGGCATATCATTCCACATGGGAGGGGTGGTATGGTAATGGTGGCATATCATTCAACATTTCCACATGGGAGGGGTGGTATGGTAATGGTGGCATATCAAGGTGGTATGGTGATGGGGGCATATCATTCAACATTTGCACATGGGAGGGGTGGTATGGTAATGGTGGCATATCATTCCACATGGGAGGGGTGGTATGGTAATGGTGGCATATCATTCAACATTTCCACATGGGAGGGGTGGTATGGTAATGGTGGCATATCATTTCCACATGGGAGGGGTGGTATGGTAATGGTGGCATGGTAATGGTGGCATATCATTCAACATTTCCACATGGGAGGGGTGGTATGGTAATGGTAGCTATGAGGAAGTTGAATATACAAATGAATAACACTAGACCACCCTGAAACACATTGAACTTGAAGTGTATTGTGTTAAGCAACCCTGTTGTCCTGTTACATCTAGCTCTGGAGACAGTCCAATGTAATAAACAATAGGACATATGTTGACTCTTCTGTGTTGAGCATATTGGGTCTTTAATCAACATAGTTTGGAATTAAGGTACTAGTTATAAAACTGAACACTATGCAGACAAACTGCCGACTTAAGTAGCCCTAAAACATGGATTTGGAGACAGGAATATTCAACACTACAAGTTTACAAGATGCAGAGACTAAATGATAAGAATCATACATTTTAAAGTTGTTTCCTAAGCACACTGAACCTTTGATATTGTGTGCGTGATGGATTCAATTTTAAACCAAATGGACCATGATTTCCTAAAATAAGCGCAGTATTTGGTTTTACAATATAGTATATTAGGTTCAAAAAGAAATTTGAAGAAAATTTTAACGTGTGAACTGAAAAAAAGATTCGACCAAATTTCCATTCGATCAAATTACCGTCTATCAATTTACCGTCAACGAAATTTCTTTCGATCAAATTTCGGGTAACCATCGATTCTGTTACATGACTTATGGCTAGAATCACGTGGTGTCTCCCAAAAGATTCTCACAGTAAACCTGATTTTCAGCGTTGCAAAGAAGATTGTTCCCCGGCCTTGACATTCTGTTTGTCCTGTTCGCTGAAGAAGGCTCCAACTCAACCGAAACGTTGACATCATATTGTCCTGTCTTTTGATTCAAGCTTCAACAGACCTTGTTTTACTATTTCATATGAGAGGCGACTTGGCGCATGCCCAGAGCTACATGAGAGGGTTAACTTGACCCAGTGTTCATCTTGACCATCATTACAGGTGGTGAAAGTTGAGTTCACCAGAGACTATGGCAGTACATACCGGTGTTAAGAGACTATACAAGACACTACACAAAAGACTAAAGAGAATATACGAATACGAGACTATAAAAAGAGATTGCAATAGTCTATAAAGAGACTGTAAAAAAACCCAAAAAACTAATGAGAAGATATACAAAGCTAAGACTACCGGTATAAAAAAAACTAAAGAGAAAACCGTACACAAAAAACTATAAAGAGACTATACTATTATTTTAAGAGTCTATACTTACACAGGTGACTATCAATGTTCCCTCAAAGGTTTGCTGGTACGTGTGCAAAATCATACAGTAGTGTGCAAAGTTTTACAGCATCAATTTTTTGTGTGCAAAATTTTACAGCCCATAAACACACACTTACATGGAAATTTACTGCGCGGTACTAAAAACTGCTGCGCGGCGTCTGTGAGATAGCTGCGCAGCCGCGCAACTTAAAGGGAACATTGGTGACTATACAAGATTGCCCAATACTATATCCTAACAAGAAATTTCAGTTAGAGGCAAAAAGGAGTGACGGAAAAGTGGGGTGGGGGTAATTAAAAAGTTACAACCGCTAAAAAACACCCCCACAGTTTGACCCGATTAAAAAAATTACAAAAAAGAACTGCTCCGTTATTCATTGAACAAAACGTTGACTTGGTTGTAATTAGCTGCCGTGGTCGTCATGGAGAGAATTAGCATTATGTATTCTAAAAACTAATTAATTACCTTCTTAAATTTCCAAATTTTTCGCATTAGTATTTCTGCCCCAATGTACTTGCAGGTATTATTGTTTTACAGCTAATTATCGAATTAAAAATACAGTATAATTATTATAATTGTTTTAGGTAAGGGTGGGCAACCTACGACCCGTGGGCCACATGCGGCCCGCTGATACCTTCATCCGGCCTGCAAGACTGCCCGAAACTGGATAAGTTTTCGTAAAATTGATAAATTGTGAATGATTATCAGTAAAAGTCTTAGAAAATTGATTATTATCGAGAAAATGTGTTAAACTGTAATAATAATAATAATTACGGTACAAAAAATTATAATATTATTACATTGATTCAGTGGCATATCTAGGGGGTGCGGACCGGACCGGGTGACACTATCTCAGGGGGATACGCCAAATTGAAAAGTTGCATATTTACAGAGCACACATTGCTCGGTCTTATTTAATTTCATAAAAGGCTAACCGATCACAAGTACATTTTCCACACATGTAACCAATCCAAATGCGTGATTTATTAAAATTTTAATTTTGATGCGTCAAAAATGAGATGACCCTATAAATTAGGTCAGAAAAACACGATTTTTCCCATGCTTCAACGCCGATTAAAGTGTTGGGTAGCTTTCGCAGATGACAGGAAGCTATATAATATCTAAATTCTGAGAAATAAAACTATCCATTGATCCCAATCGGCGTTTCTAAGAACAAGTTACAGCTCTTAAATCTATTTACCCCCTAACATTCATTTAATTTGTTTTTGTTCTTGTCATTGTTATAATGTGGACTTATTTTAACAAGAAGAAATCCATCGTGGAAGTCAGGGGGGGGGGGAGGGGGTGAAACCATGAGTTTACCGCACCTGGTGACACCATGAGTTTATCGCACCTGGTGACATCAACCTTAGCTAAGCCATTACATTGATTATTTGTTCAGTTTAATGGCTTGAAATCGAGATTGAAATTATCTTGCTGCCTCTTCTAATAAAAGTTGCCCATAACTCTATTTAAGTCAATTGGCTATTTATAGAGATATTTCTTGTTGGAACAATTCAGATTTGTATACATAAAACAGACAAAAGGCAAGGGAAAGAGAATGTTAGTAAGAGTGAGGTGACTTCTCTCCTTCTCGCTCTCTCTCACTCTCTCTTCCTCCCCACATCTCTCTCTCTCTCACTCTCCTTCTCTCTCTCTCTCACTCTCTCTTCCTCCCCCACCTCTCTCACTCTATCTCTCTCCCCCTCTTTCCCCTAACATCTATAGCAATCATTGAATATTTGCATCTCTTCGGATACAGAAATGATGTTAACAAAAATTAAAACAAATATGGCAACTGCCCACGACAACTAAATATGCACACAAATAAATATGACGACTGCACACAAATAAATATGACGACGCACACAAATAAATATGACAACTGCGCACGATTAAATATGACAAGTGCGCATGAAAACTGCGCACGTCTATTTCTCACGTTTAACGAGATCTCGTTGGTTGACTTATGGTAATAATTATCATCTGAATGAGGGACTTCATTCGATTGTATATTTGCATCCACGTTATAAAGAGACTGGTGTGCTACGACGTTATAGACAGAAGTCTTGTTACAGGAGTTGACATGACGTCTTGTTACAACAGCAGACATTCCACAAATTCGCAAACTTTATAACGACTGCACGGTTTAATGAAGAGTGACTGGTTAAACAAATGCTCTTAGTTATATACATTGGTTGATACAACAAAAGATCAGCCTGGCTCCCTGCATCCCTAGCTCCCTTGCTCCCTGGAACCCTGGCTCTCTGGAACCCTGGCGCACTGGAACCCTTGCTCCCTGGAACCCTGGCTCATTGACATTGAATCATGAAAAGTTACTAACATTTTAAAGTTGCATTTGATAAGATAATAATTTCATCCATATCCAGAGTCGCTTTGTTGGATTGTGGATGCTTTAAAATGGAAGGCAGAAGTAGAACTACAGTAAGGGAGACAGGGACAGCAGTAAGGGAGACAGGGACATCAGTAAGGGAGACAGGGACAGCAGTAAAGGAGACAGGGACAGCAGTAAGTGAGACAGAGACGGCAATAAGTGAAACAGGGACAACAGTAAGGGAGACAGAGACCGCAATAAGGGAGACAGGGACAGCAGTAAAGGAGACAGGGACAGCAGTAAGTGAGACAGAGACGGCAATAAGTGAAACAGGGACAGCAGTAAGGGAGACAGGG